TAACCATAATGGAAAACTTAATTTACAAACGTTTTTTCTTTTATGTATTTATTACACTTGACAATTGTTCAATTCAAATTCCACATTGAATTAGTAATTTTTTATTAAATAAAATAATATTATAAATAAATGACCAAATTCGTCCAGCTATTCTAAGGTGATACGCTTACTGGACAACTGCATTGAATTTTTATTGAAATAAATATAGAAACTTTTTATTAATATAAATTTATATATAAAATCATGCTCGTAGTAATATTCAAGGCCCACACAACAATTTTGACGCTTGTAGGGTGCAATATATAAGTGCAATGACCTCTCACCCCTAGTTTTCTTACCGTCCAGAGTCTCACATTCACCCGTAAACTCGTTTTGATATATTCTTACTTATGCTTTATGTTCAAAATACATATTAAGCATAAGTAAGTACCTAGTTCGATTACTTGGACAATAATTTTAATTTGATTTCTAAGATAAAACCGTGATATTTAATGAATTTGCTTGTTGAAATGAGTATGATCGTTTTCGCTGTTGGTTTTCGTTCAGTTTATCAATAATTTTCATCTCTGTTCTCTTAGAATAAATTCCTTTGTTCTTACAAAACACAATCTATCGACTCAAGGTTCTTTGAATGCGGTGGGATAGAGTTTAATTTAAAAAAAATTATGTACATGAACCCATACTATTTTATTTACTAACAGCAAATCTTGCTGCCAAATCAGCTGTACTTTTTTATGAAATTGTTTCTACAACCTTTATAGTACTGTGACTAGTGTTTTGGCCTATACACACTATTGATGTGTCATACTCGTAATGACATTGAAAAGTAACTTTTTTTTTACAACTCAGGGGGCAAACGAGCATACGGCTCACCTGGTGGTAAGTGACTACCGTCGCCCATGATCCACCCACAACACTAAAGGCATTGTAGGTGTGCTGTCGGCCTTTTAAAAAGGAAATGTTCTTGAAGGTTAACTTAAAATAATATTAAATTATCTCAAATTTTCAGTTGTATTTAAGAAATAATAATAATTTTGATCTAAAATGTATTTATTTTATTTTACAATTATCGAAATTTTACCAGTACTAAAATAATTAATCTGACGTATGGTAGGTGACAAATACACAAGGCCAATAAACAAGTTTTTGATCAACTGCTTATTAGTGCGTATTTGTATTTTTATACGTGAATGGATAAATTAGTAGTTTATAGCGGAAATGATTAGTGTTTATAGCACTTGAATTACGTTATTGGAGTAAGGTTTTATCGAATGTTAGAACTTAATTCTTTAAGTAGCCTCTAGTTTGCTCTTTTTATTGATTTAAATATTATGCAGTCCATTTATCAAGTAAATTGTTAATTAACTCTTGATATCACGTAATCCTAATAGTGTAATAACAATAATAGAATTACGTGACATTCTACGGTAAATTTTATCAAATCAGGATCGGATATGTAGAAAAGGAATAATATGAATAAAACTACTCATTGTGTTTATAATATTTTTTAATTTTATTTACTTGAATTTGAATTGTATCAAATTTTAATAATATTTTGATGTGGTATATTTTATTAAATTTTATTGAATTTCTTTATCAATGTACAAATTGAAGAAGAGGACAATCATGTCCTCTTATCTTAATAAGACGCATGTTTCTTTTGTTACAAAGTGATATAAGAATCATTTATCACGACAGTAAAATATCTTCTCGTCTAATTCCCTAAGGATTAGTGTAAGTCGAATATAGATTTATGTTAGGCCTAATGAATGAACGTGGACATATAATGTTTTAATGAATTGCGTAATTACAACAGTTGTTATTAGCAATTTATTTGTAATTTTTACGAAAATATAGGAATAATATTGAAAATAATAATTTAGTTTTTTAAATATCTCTTTACACATAATTCAAGGCAATGTTGAGTGAGGTCAGTTGACTAAAAGAAATCGAATAAGGAAATAAGCAAAAAAATGTGGGAGGAAAATAACTATTGATTTGTATCTCAATAGAATGCTGTCGAATTTTTGATTTGTGAAAGTGTAATAATACAAGTTGGTAGGTATGGTTGGTAGTACACTGTAAGGGGTTACAGTACATAGTATCCCCAAGGTAATATTATTATGTTTTCATCAAATATTTGTTTCTGTTCTAATTTTTGTTCTAGTTTAACCCTTTTTTTATCATTCTAAATCGAAATTCTAATTCAGAAGTCTATTCACTCATGTACTTATGCAGAAATGTCAAGTAATGCTATATACAATCTCTAAATTTATTTAATATCAATTTATGAACTGATTAATATCTAATATCTAAACCTTTTTGCCAAGGGTATTATGGCTTAGGCCTCGCAATTTATTAATATTGTGGGATACGATAGCTTTATAGCTGCTTCACATTCGACGCTCAGTAATATAAACATTGCGCTACTCCAATTCCAGTGGGCCTATACTCCCCACCTGACTAATTTAGTAAAACCATAATGTATTACCTTCTCGTGAAGTAATGGATGAAATGGAGCGATTTACGTATTTTTCTTTCGTGAGATAATATTGTTTAGGTTCTATTATAATGCTTTTATTCTGAATAAAAAAAAAAATATTTTATTAAATAAATAAAATAAAAAAGGCAAAATAATTTACAAATTCTGGTTAGTCTGTTGATTTGAATTTTGGCTAGCTGTAACAAATCATCCGGTACCGTTTGTTATAAAGCATCTCTTTTTTTTAAGTCTATTAAAATTAATAAAAACCCGTGTTATATTCAACAGCAAAATATTAATGAATATGAATATTTGGTATATGAATATTTTGTTTTAATGATAAAATGTTCAACAGTGACGAGGAGCGGTGTCGTAGCTAAGATTTCCATGTCGCGTCCTTTCTAAAGCAGAGCTCATTTTACCCCTGAGTGCTTGTAGGGCGGCCGACCCTGAATATTTATAAGGCAAACTCCCACTCTTCTCGCTAATACGGATTTATTATCAAATTCTGTCCTTTATACTGGAGATACTTCGAAGAAATCGGTTTAATGCGTTTCTATTTTGTATATTGATGTCTATGTATATTAATTATATTTGTATCCAAAAATATCCTATACGCGATCACGTTATATAAATTACGGTACACGAACAAGGAAATGTTGGAGTATCATTTTAGTGTTATGATTTTATTTAATCATGTACATGTTGTACAGGTATCTTTGTTTGGTTATTAAAGTATATTTGAATCTAGTTATGTAGAAAACGGCTATCTCTTATGTCTATAATAGAGAGCTGTTTTCTGCATAACTAGCTGTATTTATCAAAATGAATACTGTGTCCACGTATTTATTTTATTACACGGTCATTTCATTATCTCCTCTAAGTTTGTCATTTTGATTTTATTCTTTACTCGTTCTACAATAACATGTTTACTCACTTGTTAATGAATTATCAGGAGTAGGTATGTACTACAAATATGTATATATGTTGTTTAAGAAAAACTTGCGATTGTCACGTGTCTGTTATCGACGATTGGCACTCCCTCACTCGTCAACATTATCATAACAACTCATTAGCGTTCCACCGCTGGACACGTGTCTCTCTCTATAATGAAGTATATGAGCGTAATATAACCACCCTCGTCTTGTTTGGGTCTTTGGTTTGGGGTTTTTTCTCTTGCATGGATATATTGTGGCTTTATTCCCCTATAACTAGTAGTCTACGCGTTTCATTGTTAAAGTTTTGTTTTTATTGTAACAAATAATATTGTTTTATCTAATCAAAAAGTATATTTTCTCACCAAAGATTTTTTATGGATTCACCATAAGTTATGTTTTAGTAATTTTTCTACATTTTAGTAACCTCTCTTAATTGCGCTCTGACGACAGTTAGAGACGAAATTGTGTGATAACACATTATGTTCTTATTTCGTTTCCACATTGAGATGTCAACCCCTGGTAGTAATATGTTAAATTATCCGTCCTCGGACCTATAAATAAATTAACACCTAGTAATTATAGTATCTGTGTCGTGTACATAATGTGCTTTCTCTCTAGTGAGTCTATTTTTGTCATAGTCAACATGTTATTTGTGTCGCTGCACCGTGTCTGTGTCACACTGGCTCACCGCTCACCGTCGCCTGCCACCCATGTAAAAACTCTGCAAAACTTTTCACTAGCGCCTGAACTGTATTATTTCCTCTGAATTGTTCTTTTGCAATTTTCATAATGTAACAACTTTTAGATACTCGTATGTAAAATGAATGATTTGAAGGGATTAAATACAGTTTGCAATGTTCAGTACCATTTTATCTAAACCATCAATTTTAGTTTTTGAACTCTGTAATATCACAATGAAATATCGTCTTTATATGGCTATACTATTGTACTGTTCGTTGCGTCATCCATTCTCGTTACACTTTAATTACATGTTTGCTAGTTGAACATCTTGCAGTTTACCTACTCTTTACAATGCTATATTATTAATATATTATAACAATGATACAGTTTTAAGAAGATACTGACTTGAACCTTAGTTTACACAATAAAATGTAGTTAGAACGACTTACAGCTGTAATAATATTATGACGTCCGCATATGACATGAGTTCTCAATGTCTTGTTTGGACCTATCTTATATGTTCCACTGTTAGGCTGGTCTTGAAAATGTCTACAATGTGTTTTATTATTTATTTCTTTCTTTTTTCTTCCTTATTTTATTTAATAAGCAATCATGACATGTTATAAAATGAAATTAGATAATTAAAATAAATATAAACAAACATTTGTACAGCTTGCCTCCGACGGGAAGTTCACCCTCATATTATAGAATCTGGGACGGTCGCGTATAGCGCAGTTTCAGAGTTGTTTCCTCCACAAACGCCCAGGTTATGAAATGAGCACCATGTCGATGTTTTTCGAAGAGACCACATGGCAACCGAGAAGATATCGCGTGTTATAAAATAGATATGAAGACGTAATCTTCAATGTGTATTAACATATAAAAATCCATTGTTACAGGGTGGCTACCCGGCCAAGCTGAAAAAGGTGCTAATAGTGACGGCGCCGCTGTGGTTCAAGGCGCCGTTCGGTATCCTCCGGCTGTTCGTGCGTGAAAAGCTGCGTGAGCGCGTGCACACGGTGAGCGCGCCGCAGCTAGGCGTGCACGTGCCGCGCGCCAGCCTTCCTAAGCAGCTCGGTGGCCAGCTGGAGCCCGATCACGCCGCCTGGTTAGTTATTACATACCTTCAATATTGATACCCAAACAAAAACACGTCACATGTTGGCGTCTTAACTACCAAACAATAATTTTGTCATTCTCAATTATTATTTTCCGTTTGACTTGTGCTGGGTATATTCGTAAAATATTTTTCCTTACAAATAACACTTTACGGATTATAACGGAATGTTCTAAATCAGTGAAACGAAAAAACTTTCCCCAAGAAAGTGGGTCAAAGAACGACCAAAAATTTTAAGCTTCCTTTACTATCTTGACAGCTGGACAAGCAGGTTTTGAAAAAAATTATTCATCTTTACTGGAATAACACTTGTTTAAAAGGAAGTTAGTGATTCCCATTTAATTCTGCGAAAATTGATAAGTTTTTTAGGATATTACAAATTTTTAGGAAATTTGTAATATCCTAAAAAACTTATCAATAATCTAACGAGAAAATCACCTTAGAAATGCTGCAAGTGTTATGGAGTCCTTTGGGTTGGGTACGGATCGTAAATACGTATATTATTTTGATTAATAATTAATTTAAATTATTTTTTTATCAAAACGTTGTATACCATGTTTTATGCATTAAATTTCTCGAATATTTATTAGCAATAAAAGGTACTGTAAAGACCACCTATCTAACGAGATGACTTCTTATACTGTATTTATGGCTCATATGATCATATAATGCATATTCACGTTATCCGTACCACATTCGAGACTGCAAACGTAGGTATAGTACGTACTATAACTGCGATAAATGCACTTATTTTGAAATGCGTTTTTGTTGGATTTCTATTCTCTGTATGTACAATTTAATATGAAATAGGTTTTCTTCAAATTGCTTATATAATGCTGAATAAATTTTAAAATAACCCAATGGAGTAGCATACAATAGAATGCATAGTAAATTATTGTTTATTCAGCATTTGGAAAAAAAAAGAAATTGTCTTGAAGAATTGCTTACGATCTGTGCTTCAAGTTAATATTTTTTTATAACTTGTTAGATGCAGCTGATTATCCACCGCGAACATATTCATGCAATTTTATATGCATGAATTTATATTGTAACATTATTGTACACACCTATACAAGTTCTCTAGCTGCAGTATTACATCATAACGCGTTGAGGAAATGTTCATTTCAGACGGATTTGTGGATTTAGACTAAGCAAACGAATCCCCCTTCTTCATCTATTCTACATAGTCTGAATGGTTAAAGAGTGTATTCATTCGATAGTCTCCTGCATTTTGCAAATAATTTGGTCATTGTACTTATGTTTTTCAGTTGATATATACACGCAAATGCTTTTGGTGGCATGTATTGTTGTTTGAATTGTAATAGGTATAATTAGAATTACGTTGTTTATTTCAGGTTGGATCACTGTAAAAATTGCTATACAAATAATCTCCAGAATTCAAAGTTGGACGGCGGCACCATTGACGAATATGTAATCAGCAATCACATACCAGTGGTCAAACCACAAAATGGTGAGTTGTATACCATGTCTGTTTTTGTGTCATGTTATTAATAAAAGCGAGTATAAATTTGTGGGTGGTATTTTTTTTTATGTAATACCATATGTAAATAATAGATGCTTTTGTATTTTTTTTTAATGGATGATAATGGAATGGTAACCCCACCCGCGCTATCGGTATACACTGGCGGGGCAACAGTGAAGAATGATAGGTAAGGATAATGTAGGTCAGTTAGCCCATCGTGACGAATTCAACAAAAATTGTTCACGATGGTTTCCAGGGGGATCCACGTGGTGGTCGACCTAATAAGGTATATTGCTAGCTATGGGGTTGTCAAACTCCATTGCTAACAATTCTTTTCCCCCTGATGCTTTTGTATTGTATTATCTATTATACTTAAATTAGATTGTTATGCTTCTTTGAGTTGTTAAACGAATGAAAAATATTTTGAAGTAACTTGTTCAAGAAAAAACCTGGGATTTCGTTTTATATTTACCGTCTCGGTGTAAATTGTGAATTCTATTCCCTCGTATCATATCGATTTATCTTACGGTCGATTCGTTCCGTTTTTTCCTTCCGGAATTCTAAAATAGCTACAGTGTTATCATTCAGATATTTATTTATAGAATCTACACATAAAAAATTGTGTTTGGAAATATTTCAAGCGTATAGAGTAATAAAGAATATCTTATAAGTCAATATTGTGTAACAACATTTTTTAAAACTATAATAAACAACCTTGGACATATAGCACCATTAAACCAGTATAACAAACAATTATGTTTTATGGGATATAAAAAATAAATTTACCTACTTAAATACTATTTGTAAATGCATATAAAACGTCCAAATCAATATAAACAGGCATACTAATGAATGCAATTGTTTGCGGAGTTCGAAACCGTAATTATCAGAAGATAAAATAGTGTGTTCTTAGTTTGTCAATGGAAATACTTTACTGATAGTGTATCACTTAAATGTTGGCTCATAAAATAGAACCCAAAACACAAACATATCTAGAAATGCGAATTAAGGATATTTAACACATTTAGATTTTTATCTATTTTTCATTTAGAAACAAGCAGTTATATACAAGGATTGTTAGTTATTGAAATTATTGGAAAATTGCCACACTGGTTAAAACAAAAATGCGTGTTTCAAAATATTTCTGTAATATATACTAGACGAAAAAAATCTTTATAATAACGATAGGATAATAGCACTGTCTCATAGTTGAACACTTATACTGAGTTTGCTTTGATGCCAACAAAATAGCGGAAAGCATAACCGTAGCCTTTCACCGTGCATAAATCCACGGTAGATACTAGGAATCTTCTGTGATTTTAGACATCGGTTCATATGATAGACAGTGCGGAAAATAGTGCCCCATTTACATATAATTTTTTCGTGTTTCGGTATGGCTGGAGGATCATTGTAAATCTTAAACATAAGAAGTCAAGCCCACGGAAGGGGCAACGTATGAGGAGTAATAGGTATTATGGTATAATCCAGATGTCTATCATAATTTTTTCTGTTCAATGGTCACCACTTCCCCACAAATTGTTCGTCAGCTTATATGTTCTTAATAGTATAATTGTGACATAATATATGGTTTGTCCATAGGTATAATAGAGCACGAAGTCGGATGTGACATGACAAGTGACCGCGCGGCTCGGCTCGGTGACAACGGCACAGACATGCACATCAGTGGCGACCCGCCGTACACCTGCGACCCCAGCCCTCTCAGGTACTTTTATAATAGATGGTTATCCTGCCTGTGCTATTGGAATACTCTGTCGGGGTACAAGTAAGGGATGATAGTGAAGAATTCGCTTGGAGTTAATCACAATAGTTTCCAAGGCGAACCGCGTAGAGATCGATCTGTTCCTGAAGGTATATTGCTAGCAATGGAGCTGTTCAACTCAATATTTAGACTGGATACAAGTTATCTATAAATTGATTCTCAAATATTTTTTGTAATTTTGATATATATATATATATGCAAGAAAGACTTGTAAAGAAAAAATCGTAAATTTATAGTTATATTACAAAAAATATAATGACAAACTCATGTAGGGATTGTTCTATGAGTGTTCAACAAGACTGTCGTATAAGGCGATTAAGGGAACAAAAATCAGTTCCTAAGTGCAGAATAAGGAAAACTGAAAATAGAATAATATGTATAGAAAATTTACTTATCATATTGAACCGAATAAAAATATATTTCCATGGCTTTCGAATCAAGGATGGATGGGATGGGATCAATGTAACTTATTCACATTTTTCTCGTTCGAATTGTTCCGTAACATGAAAGTAAAAATAGGGAGATTGTAAAATGTTTTCTTTCCGTTTGCAGGCACACACACGGGTTCAATGGTGATTTGAAGGGCAGGCATATAAATTCAGGAGATGAAGACGACTTAGACTTAAGCAGTAAGTAAATATTAATAATAATAATGTACGATAGTCATTTACATATATACATGACATTTTTTTTATTAAATAATAAATTACATTTTTTAAACGCGTAGTTGAATGTCTAATAGTTGTCTTAAAATTCTATTAAATTTAATCTTTAAAAAAATACACTACAAATATTGACTATATTTTGTCAATCAAATATAAATTAACTTGACGGAAAACCTATTCAAGATTTCCTAAAGGTATTTACCATCATCATAAAGTTAATAAGAAATTAAAATTAGAGAAATTCTCTATTATATACAACTAAAGTCATGCATTAGATTCAAATTGGATAATAATATGTTAGCAGGGATCTATATACATATAATCCGGAGCGTGTGCTGTCACTCAGTACGGTCGCGATGCTCTTAACAAATAACAAAACACAATTTTTATGTACAACAAAAAAATAAGAAATGTATTTCGTTTGCCGTGCGCTGCGGTGCGAGTTATTTTTATATCTTTTCTAGGGCGCACTTTGCCGTATGTTTCGCGTGACCTCGAATATATTACCTCTATAAAACCGTAATTTGGATTGTTGGTTGGGTTTGGGTAACAAGAATTACTCAGTGTCTTTTTAAGACGGCCTTTGTTGGACCATTTCTTTAACATCCCTCGACATAGTTTATTGATGACTTGAAGCGTTAAATTCGAAAGAAACCTCTTTTTTTATTTTGTTGACAGCGCAGTAGATATGACAGATTTGATAATAAATTCGTGTTTGTAGCTTTTGTAATTTTTATATATTATTAGGATTTAAATGAATTGCAATAAAAGAATATCCGGTATGTGTAAACAGTATTTATATTTTGATTTAAAACATTATAAATGGGCCAGTACTTTGATCGCCAGAAATTTGCAACTTTAGGTATTTTTTTTATTTTCACATTTACATGTTCATAAAAATTGATATTTTTAACGATTATGTGTTTTGGAATCGTACAGTATGCACGTTGATGTGAAGGCGACGTCGTAAAATGCATTTTATTGAAACAATAATTGTTGAAACATTTTCAAGGTGTCCACAATGCGTTTTATATTAATGACGTTATTGTTGAGTTCTATATGATTAATTTTGTTTTATTTATCGTCGCATTACGACTCGTCGCGTGCGTGATTATGTACACTTGTTATATATTTGATTTTATTTAAGTAGAATGTTTTTGCTCAAATACATATGTAGTAGGTATGGTCGTATAATCAGAGTCAAGAACTTTAGATAAAACTAAAGAAACATTCATTGACGCATAAATTATTTCATGCGCTTTTAATAATGACTTGATTTTTTAAATATATAAGAAAAAAAAATTAAAGTTTATATGTATCATTTGGTAAACCAGGTAACGAGTGTACCTAGGAGTAGTTTATACTATAGACCTAAAAATGCATTTTACTAATATATACTAAACAAGGAAAGAGAGATGATGAGCTGATTTCTACAACTGTTTTTTGTTTGTAGGATTTAGAGAGAAAAAGGATTTACATTTACTATAGCTTAAGTTTTTAAATATAAAATTATTTTCGCATCTTTTTTTTTGCAATGTGATTTTCAATTTGGAGCTCTTTATTATGTAATGAGAGGGACATCTATAGAATAAATTAATAGTAACTTGTAAAAAATTAATAAAAAATATAGAAATAAATTTCTCAAGCACGGAAATAATTCCTGGTACAAGCATGTTACGTGTTTGGATGGAAACGGTCGCGGTGAGGTGAGGTGTATACGTTGCGGCGGTCGGTGTGCAGGTCGCGGCGCGTGGTCGTCGGGCGAGGGCTCACCGACGCTGTCGGACGAGGAGGGCGCGGCGGGCGGCGGCGAGAGCGCGGGCGCGCTGGCGGCCCGCGTGCGCGCGCTCGGCCGCCGCGGCCTGCACGCGCACTACGACGACATCCGCGCGCGCGCGCCCGCCGGCACCTTCCACCACGCCAAGTCAGTACCCGCCACCTACTCACCAGAGGGAGACTTTGTACAAAACTCGATTGCTTGGGTACCTCTGTCCCATTCGTGTTTCAACCGTGCAGCAGTTGTGTTTGCATGGCTGTGTTTCGGTTTGAAGGGTGGGATATGGCGTGAATTTACTGGGTACAGAGGAATAACACCTGAGTCCTCAGGAATGGCAACGCATGGGGGTATCATGGGCGAAACACTACACCCTGTTATGTCCGTGGTACTGCTCATGTCTATAGGCGACGGTTACCACTTTCCATCAGGTGGGCCGTCAGCTTGTTTGCCATTCTAAGTTGTATAAAAAAAAAAAAAACTGTGTTAGTTTTTTTACACTTACTATCAGCTCCACCTCCACGCGGTTCCTCCTGAAAACCATTGTGGTTCATTCTCTACGAATTCTTCACAGTGGGCTAACTGACCTGCCTTCACCCTCACCTATCATCTGTCACTGGTGCCTCGTCAGCATTCCACTTTCACCAATTAAAAAAAAAAAAACTTTTGTTTGAATGTTATTAATTTTTTTTTACATTTACAACTAGTGCTTAAATTTTTGATATTTGTACTATTATTGACATTATATGATTTGCAATAGCTCTCTTTGTACTGCTACAGTTCGCCAAACAAAAAATTTGCATGCTAACCTTAGTAAAACATGTCAGAACTGTAATACTCAGTATGTATCTACTACACACCCATGTTTATGCAAATAAATTTATCTTTATCTTTTATCTCACTCGCTCATTGTACTCAGCCCTCATTGCTAACCAATAGGTTTAGCATTCCAAGTTGCATAAATTAAAATCCATAAAACTAATTCGGACTAACTATATCAATGTACATTTTCGAAAAACATAATTTTTAATAGATTTTTTTCAAACATGCTTGGAAATGTGAGCATTATTTTGACAATCTTCTTCGAGATAAATCAAAATTGCCATACTGGTCAAATACATGCGGGCAGCGGCCGGTAAAAGTTGTATGAAAATCCATATCTTAAATTACTATGTAAACTCATATCTGTCCTGTAATTTAAAAATAAAATGACCTTTTACTTCGAAACATGGCTACCAAGGAGGTAACTAATAAAAAGGTTTTATTTAAATTTCGAACTGGCTTGCAATTAGAAAGCTGTTTATTGAAAAAAAAAAAGGAACATTATGGCGCCTGAAAAGTTATTATTGGTCGATATTCGTCATCGAACTTAAAAAGTAAAATTGTGTTTTTGATTTCCGCACATTGTTTGAGAAAAGTACTATACAAGCCTTGGCCACAACTAGGCATTGATGGACTCACGTATGTGTGCCTCGGCTACGCCTCGGCCCACATTTGCATGTTCGTCCATCAATGTCTCAGTTGCTGGCCGCTGCAGTAATGTACTATAATTTATAATAATGTACTATATCATGTCAAAGTAATGCTCACATTTCCAAGCATGTTTGAGAAACGTATTTTTTCATTATCTCTGCTCCATTAAATTGCTAAAGCAATCCGAAGTGGGCTTAATGATTAAATGACAAAGAGTCCGTATAGCATTACTGACACAATAAAATGATAGATGGAAGTGTTTGTAGAACAATGTTGCCACTCTTATTCTATATATTCTTAATATTGTATATACATTCACTTATAATGTTCGATTCACCAATCATGCATGACGGTGTCCTATACATACTACAAAAATATTGATTTTCGAATCCGAATATTTTTCTCTTGGAGTGATATTTAAGTTCTTATTAAAATGTTCTAAAATAATAAAAGAATTTTATTGATACTTATCCCCAAATCTATTCTTATTATGCTTTTAATAAATAAGCTAACAATTCCCTGACAATTCTGTTAATATAATTTTACTATACGATTTTGGATAGTTAAAAGGGGAAGGATTAAATTTAAAATTTGTCCTTTTCAGATTGCCGAGTAATCTAGCCAAGAACCGTTACACGGACGTGTTATGCTACGACCACTCGAGGGTGATACTCTCGCAGTCAGACCCCGACGACCCCACTACGGACTATATTAACGCCAACTACGTTGACGGGTACAAACAAAAAAATGCCTTCATATGTACACAAGGTATGTGGACATTTGTTTAGTAAATATTTATGTTTAAGTTTCAGTATTTTACAGACTTTTATATTAAGAGCTGATACTGGATTATTTGTCTGTTAAAACAAAGCAATTGATTTATCTAAAAATTGTTCTGTTAGCGAACTGAAACGTTTATTATTTGTTAACCTTAATTGATTGTCATTCTAAGTTGCATAATAAAAAAAAAAAAATTATGTCGTCAAAAACTCTTCCCTGCCTGCCTTCCTCTTATAGGTTGTGAGGGTGTGTGAGTGACAAAGTTTGCGTTTAACGAATAATTTTATGAAATGACGAGCGTGCGTTTTATCCTTATATGCGATACTCTCAACATGTATGCAAGTCCAGGCGCACACTGATTAAGTTCTGAATAGGACATGAAATTTTAAATCTCGATCCTAATTATTTCTCAATTTAATTATTACATGTCTGCTAAAAATAGAATATAATGTTTTTAAGGTTTATGCAGTTACCATATGTGAGGTTTTTATATTTGGTCATAACTTCTAACTGGCTGATGGCATGTGGATGTATATATTATAATCCTTACATTATTCCGAATGACACTAGCTTTATTTTAATAGTTTTTGACAGGGTAGTCGTGTTTTTTAATTTGTGGAGCAACGTATTTTGACTCTATTATTTTGTGAGTCATGTTTTGACCGCTGATACCAACCGTCGCAGGTCCGCTGCCGAAGACGTTCGGCGACTTCTGGCGCATGGTGTGGGAGCAGGGCACGCTGGTGGTGGTGATGACGACGCGCACGGTGGAGCGCGGCCGCGTCAAGTGCGGCCAGTACTGGCCGCTCGCCGCCGGCGGCCGCGTGCAGCACGGACACCTCGCCGTCACCACCGAGGCCGTCGACCACCAGGACGACTACATCGTCTCGCACCTGCTGCTCACCGACGTCAGGGTACGTACCAGGGATACGTGTGGTTGCGTTGATACTGAATTAAGTGGATATCGCATCTATACGTAGTATGCGTTAATTTTGACCAATGTAATCTAATTCGGGCTAGAGTATGTAGAATGAGTACCAGATTATTGAGGATCGGAGAGTTACATAATACAATACGATAGTGGAAGCGCAGATAGTTAATCAGATAGATTTGTTGAAGTATGTTAAAGTATTAAATATGCTAATGTAACAGTAGCACTGCATTGAGCCTCATAGCATTAAAAATCGTTGCGCCAACTGTCGGCTGATTTGTTCTTATTGTATGGAATTCTGATATAATAATAAGATACATCAATTTATAATTTCATATCTATCCATTTAAATTAAATCGTTTTCGTCTAAACCTCTGAAGTCTAGATGTAGGTAATCTGTACATAGAGACCGTATCGTTTGTTCACGGTGCGCTGTGTGTGCAGACGGAGCAGAGCCGGCGCGTGTGGCACGGCCAGTACACGCGCTGGCCGGACTACGGCGTGCCCGGCGCCGGCGCCGCGCCCGTGCTGCGCTTCCTGCAGCTCGTGCGCCGCGCGCAGCACGCCGCGCTCGCCGAGTACGTACTGCGCACGCATACGCACACCACGCACGCACGCATACGCACACGTGCACGCTAGTCAGCCAACTATATTGTATTTTTTTATACTACGCAGATGGCAAACAAGTATACAGCCATGTATGCATATACTTATACTAAAACTACGACTACGTATAAGTACAACACACGCACACGCACACGCACACGCACACAAGTCAGCCAACGATAATGTATTTTTTTATATCACACAGGTGGCAAGCAAGTATACAGCCTTGTACATGTACACTTATACTAAAACTATGACTTCGTATAAGTACAGTAACACTGAGGTTATCGTCATATTAGCCATTATGTGTTCAATGCGGAATATATGCTTTACCCATAGACTACTGTAAGAAATGGTTCTGAGCCACACTGCATGCACTGACTACTTAAAATGAATTTTAACAGTGACATGATAAAAAAAAATGTAATTTGACAAACGATCAGTAAACATCAATCAAAACATTAATCGGTTATGAATTTATGTAATAATTTGATTCAGGCTTCATGAGATATGTTTCTTTTTTTTTTAATTTAGTTTTAATTATATTTCAGCCTAGGAGACGCGTGGGCGGGTCACAGTAGAGGTCCACCGATCGTTGTTCATTGTTCAGCCGGAATAGGGAGAACTGGTAAGTCACAAATTTTTTTTTTTATTTCTTATCAATTCATTTACAATATGGTAGAATTTACGTGATATTTGCCTGTATAATTTTTATGGATCTATCCTACAAATAATAAGATTTGATGGATGATGCTAAAGAAGCCAGCAGAGTAAGCGGTGTGGTTGCGCAGGCACGTTCCTGACGCTGGACATCTGCGCGCTGCGGCTGGCGCACGAGGGCGTGGTGGACGTGCGCGGCACGGTGGAGCGCGTGCGGGCGCAGCGCGCGCACTCCATACAGATGCCCGACCAGTACGTCTTCTGCCACCTCGCCATCCTCGAGTACGCGGTCAGTATCGCTGTCTGCAGTACTGTACACTAGCCCTCCTCTTACGCGTTGTATCTCAATTTTCCTTCGTGCAGGGTACGCTCAATACCCTACGCGACTCATCTTACACATGATTAATTATATATAAATATATGGTGCCTAACCTAAAACTTCAGATTCTAATGATCTTTATAATCTACCATCTCAATTGAAACAAAACCGTCAATATGTACCAAACTTCTATACCGTAAGTATGAAAAAGAAAGATAGAATTGATTAAAACTTTTTAACCATCTACAGGACAGTATCCTATATTTGATAGGTGTAATATGTTTTTATTTTTCTTACAGCTATTGTATTTTAATATACGACTCGCCTTACGAACAATCAACTAATAATTTGTTTATTTATTATTACAGGTGATGCAGGGCTACTTAGAGTCGGTAGACCTGTCGGGATTCGATGAAGACAACGACGACGAGTCGGAATGAAGACTGTCGCGGCCGTTCTGCGTCTTCCTGTGAGACGCGAGCCCGCGAGCTTGCGACCTGCCAGCCTGCCGCCCGCCGCCCGCCGCCGCCCCCGCCGCTGTACGTGCAGTGAGCGAGTGACGAGTCATAGCCACAGTGAAAACAAACCACCAATACAAACCCGTGTCATATTGGATCTCAGTTCTACAGACCAAAGATCGCGCGCATCGTACAGTGTTACCGTTCCACGTTCGGCCCGCCATGGTATTGCACAAGCGAGAGATGTGTTCATTAGAATAGTGTAAGTGAGGGACAGTGTCGTGGCTACTGGGAGCCTTATCGCATCACTCATCACACGATTACAAATATTGTAACATTGCATGTCTGCGATTGAATGTCTGTCGAATCGGACCCCGCCCGTAGTGTAAGCCCTAGTGAAATCATCAAATGTTCCTGTAGCATGAATAAGAACTGGACGATTCGGAACCGATTTTGGAAGGCGACCTCATTAATTCAAGTATTTTTTTTTTCTTTTCATATTTAAAAAAATTCTTTGCAACCAAATATATTTTCCGTAATTACTTAGGAATTATTTATGTAAGAAGTATGGCTGTGTGAAGTTATTCGTCGGTAATTTATGTAGTTATGTATGTTTACATTTTATTTCAATGAAATTGTATGCCTCTAATAATATAAGTGTGGTAATTTTATAGTAATATTTTTATCACTAACAAAATTTCACGAATTTGATACTATTTTATATGTTGAGGTGCTGGTATGATATTTTATATTGTGTAAAGGTAATTCATCACACAACTCTTATTCATTGTTCACTTGCAAATCATCATAATATGGTGTGTGCATTTATTAAGATTGCTAATGTTCATCAGTATTATATGCACTGAAACATCTAGATATTGTTACAAATATCATACGGATAATTTTTATATCGATAGACTGAGTAATTGTATAATGCTCCAAAATTATACTAGTGGCTCGCAATTATGAACATTATGACTGAATCCTTTATTTATATTTAATTAATGACCATGAGCACTAATAAATTAACGCATGTAATTAATACAAATGTAAAATATTTAATAGTGAAATGGATTTATAGCAAAAGGACTATTTATTTTTCAATATAATATATGTTGCTACATATCTTTTAGATCAACAAACATAGTATGATGAATCGCCGTCCTTTCACGCAGTATACATATCGCCGTATATCCGAAGTATTTCATTCCTGTGCTCTGTACAAAGCAATACACGCACGAACCACAAACATACTGGCATTCGTCTGGGGCCCTCTTAGTTCTACACTGATGTGCAAAAATCAGTGTTGACCTGTTCCCATAGTTTCGATCAAAAATTTGCTTTTTTCTACAATGATGTAGAACAAAGCGGGTTACGTTCTCTTTTCTAGGTGTTGCGCACCTCTCGCAGTCCCGGGTTAAGACGGGCCCGCCTCTCTTACTGCACCGGTTCTGTTATTTTCGTTAAAACAGTCAAATGATAGATCAATTTTGCAGCTGTTCACATTTAAATTGATCTAATAAAATATATAAACTTTGAATTTTCATCGGGTTTCTCGATTTCTTTATCGTGCAAAAAATAATGCGGCAGCTGGGTTTTCAGTGAAACAATTGGGCCGGTGCAGTGGAAACGGAATCTCATGCTTACGATTGGCAAGATTTTTGGAGCGTTTCTAGTAATACAAGTCCTGATTCAGATTAAAATGCTTTCAGTCCTAAAATATAGTTTATCCGCAATTCGTATTTTCTTACACTAGTGCTCTAGCGCTCATCATGCTGTGGTCCGCTACAAGTGTTGTGTATACGGCAATGGACTGAATATAAATCTGGACACGGCTAAACTAGCATATTTTCTTATATAGTATATAATATTAAGAAAATTGTTAATCAGAAATAACTGTTGATTCTGTATGTGTAAATATTTAATTTTTTTTTGTTAAATCTAAATTAAACCTCTTGTGAAATATTGTGTGAAATAATAAAAAAAAAAATGTAATATATTTATATGATTCGTTTCATTTATACACAACACATCTAAAGAATATTTCGTTAAATATAAGCTATAGAAATGGGAACTATCCTTAATCTATGACGTAAGTAGATTCTGTTTAGCAAAAAATTATCGATTCGAATCGTGTTGTAAATTAATAAATACAGAAATGAAATTTATTATTAAAAAATAGATTCACAAACTGCAAAGATCCTATTATATCTTTAATATTTTTATTAGTAATATAATAAGAAACAAAATACAGAGAAATTAAATACTCATTTCTGGGCAGGTTATAGTATACTTTTCATCACGCTATGATCAATAGGAGCAGAGCAGTGAAGGGAAATGTTGGGAAAATGGGAGATGTTACTTAATTTTTAATACATTAAATATTATCGCGACGCCGAGACGGGCCGCTAGTATCTTTAATAATTTTATTAGTAATATAATAAGACACAAAACAAAACAGAAATTAAAACTCATTTTCGAAGTGCTCAATAAAAGATTAATATAATAATACATTTAAATATTATTGGATAAGTTATAGTCATTTATAAGTACATACTAATTGATATTAGTATGTAAGGTAATACACCTTTTTAGGGAATGGTAGTGTCTTAATAATGAGATCAGCGTTGGAAGATTCCACGAGCAACAGTTCCCGCAGCCGCAAATTACGTTTCGTTTTTGCTAGTTGTTTTGCCAAATCCGACTGACTCGCTAATCAGACAATCTGTGATATCGTGTATCAATTTAATATAAAAATATACAGGTGTCTATCTGACTAGTTGATTTGTGGTATTGTGAAGATGTACAGTACTAATAAGTATTCGAATTTCACAACCTGAATGCGGATAAGGACACTGTTTGGTAAGGTGACCAACTATATTCATTTACTGAGTTTTGTAATCTTTTTTCGCAAACCGTACTCTTTTCAAATCCTGTACTCTGAAAGTATTCATTTGTATAATTTTATACTCATTTGTAATTCTAAAACTTTTTTTTAGATTATTTTATTTCAATTTTATTAATTAAATATATAAAATTATTTTGAAAGTGATTTGAATTTCATTAGAATTTCAGAACATATCTCAAATGAAAATTCAAAAGATTTAATAGAAATTTCCTTATGTTGTCCAGGCACTAATGCTGCTGTTGAAAGGGTTGTTTTTACTAGGGAATGATTATTGGAGCAGTGAGAAGTCGCAACTTTCTGTAAAAACATTATCTGCCGTCTTAACAGTCAAATTTAATATGCAAAATGAAAGTTATTCGGATGTGGCTACTTTATTAGACAAACATTCACATTTAGCAAAAAAATCCACTCCGAAGAAAAATATGTTTTTAAAAGAAAATAAAGTTTCTATCGTTTTTTCTTCTTTTTTCACCTATGAAATACTTGCAAAGTGTATTTTTTTTAACAAAAAATAGTTGGTCAACTTACTGTTTGGCGGAAGTCTACCTCTGATTCAATTGGCAAAAAACTAAAGTTATAAAGTTAATACTAGCTACTCTTCAGTCGTTTTAAAACCACTTATAAGGTTGTTAAACAAGCTGTTTGTAACATCGGATGGAGATTAATATGAGATTACAATTTACAGTTCATGACTTTTTTTATACATGTACACGTATGCATATATTCATACATATATGTATATTAGTATTCGTAAATCCTTAACTAATATTATAAACTTGAAAGTGAGTTTGTTAGTTGTTTGTTACGCTTTCACGTCTAAACCGCCGAATCCATTATGATAAATTTTAATATTGAGATAAATGGGACCCTAGAGGCGGTTATAGGCAACTTTTTTCCTGGTCAGTTAACGTATATGTACATATTTCGGTGACGAAGTTGCAGGGTAAAAGCTAGTATGTTATAATTTTTTTTAGGATAGATAGTTGCTGGATATTTTTTTGATGGGTGAAAATGAAATGGTAAACCCGCCTGTGCTAACGGGATACGCTGGCGGAGCACCAGTGAAGGGTGATAGATGAGAATGAAAACAGGCCAGTTAGCCCATCATGATGAATTCATCAGGAATTGACCATGATAGTTTCCAGGGGGAGCCGCGAGGAGGTCGACCTGGTTGGGTATATTGCTAGCAATGGGATTCTCAGTCTCCATTACTAACAATCCCTTTCCCCCCAGTTGCTGGATATTAGAAGTAGGTACTTATACAAACATAGCGTCAAAAACACAATCCACACTTGTTCTGCACTCATGGGCATTGCATGAACGATGTAATATCACAGATATTACCGTGCTTAGTGTTATAATATTGATTTGATGTACATTTTCATTCATATAAAAGATATAGAGTATTCGCTATTGTCAGAATTTTTGACATTTGATTAATAGAGATTACCTAGATTAAAACCAGAATAATATTTATAATACATTTGAGATTGAAATAAACGACATAGCCCGAAGGATAAGCAAGCTGAAGTGGCATCGGGCTGGTTACATAGCTCGAAGAATCGACAACCGATGAAAAAGAAAGGCTCTTGAGTAGCGACCGCGTACGGATAATCACAGTGTAGGACGACCCCCACTAGATGAAGAGACGATTTGAAATGCGTTGCAGGGAGTCAGTGGATGCAGGCGGCTCAGGACCGTTCTTTATAACTGTCTATGGGAGAGGTTTATGTCCAGCAGTGGACGGATAATGGCTGAAATATTGATGATGAGGTTGAAAAGATTGTATTGTGATATATATAATTTTTCAGAAGATGATAAAATTTATATATTTGGGTAAACTTAGATTAATTGAGTGACGTAAAATTTCCGAAGTAGAAGGAGGGCAACAGTGCAGTTTAATTTTTTTTTATAAACATATTTATATTACTGTTTTGTAACGCATGCATGTACTACCATAATAAGCAAGATCATTAGCCTAAATATTTAAGCTATTTATTTATTTAGTACAATTAATACTAGAATTTATTTACAAACGTCATTTAATATTTATAAAAATGTCTTTCTATCTTATAAATTAACAATATAAATTAACTTACTTAACTAAATATTTATACAAATTGTTCATAATGTTATAAAAAATAAAAAACGGATTTGTTTGGCTCAAATAGATACAGATTGCCTAAGTGTCTAAGTGTCACGATATTGCCCGTTAGAGGCGATCAGTCGAGTCCGTCTCTCATTACTTAAAATCGACTAACTGATAAATCGTGTCGTCTACGTAACGTAATTCATTTGTATACGTAACGTAGACTCTATTGTTTAAAATACCTTAACATTCACATGTTGCTATCAAACAGCAATGATTTTCAGCTAATAACTGAAGTGAGAAATCGCTAACGATACAGGTTAACTAATAAATTTTTGAAATACATTTTTACAAAACAAAAGATAGATAGATAGCCACACTTAAAAAGACACTATAAAACACTTTCCGTTTTTTTTTTGCTACTTAACTTTAAGAAAATTAGTATGAAAACAAATAATTACAAATTTAATCCTCTTTATAAAATTTACAGATGTATTACATTTTAACAAATTAACTACAAAATAATTATTCAATCTTACAGGAAATCAAACAAAATTTACTTGTCAATATTGCTGATCCAATAAGTCGTTTATTTTTACTGATATAATATTAAATTCCTGTGACAAGAAATTAACACTATTATAGAAACATATTTTGTTTGCAGATATCGTTCAGTTATAAGGTATAATTTATACAATTTCAATGTAGATTCATATATAATTCCGTGGTTTAATGATAAAATTTTTCTGCAAGATAACCAGCATCTTGTAGGTTCAGAGTATATTCAGCGAGGAGTTATTTTTAGCCTAGACAATACCAATTATGTTAAAAAAGTTAGAATTATAGCTAAATGCTTGTAATTGTACTGTTGTATCTACTAATGTTTTTTCAAAATTCAAAACACTGTAGTTATTACTAAGAAGTTGTTTCTTTAAATAAGTGTAATAGTATTTATATAAATTTAAAAATATAAAAAATACCTTATTTTATTTATCTTACTTCATACATTTATCTATTCTGTATTGATTCGAGTTAACAATTAATTTGTGGTCGATAAGTTACCAATTCACTTATTATTCACTTTTACTGATCCGACTTCAAAAAAAGGAGGTTCTCAAATCGGTTGCATTTTTTTATGTTTATTACCTCATAACTTCGTCGGTTCTGAACTGATTTGGAAAATTCTTTTTTTATCTGATAGGATATAACTCTTAGAAAGAAAGTACTTACAGATTGCTCTTATAGAAATTTTATCAAAAACGGATCAGTATTTTAATTTCTAGAACAAAATAACTGGTTTTGTCTCAATTGAAGTCGGTTTTTGTGGGACACAATCTTTAACTATTTAGTCTAATAATCTGTATTTTTTTATTTTTGTTTTTTAAGGTATATATGATTATATGTGCGTGCCTTGTAACTTAAACAATAGTTTTATTATATTATTAATCTGGATTAGCCATTTTATTATATCTATAAACAGATTTGATTTGTTCATTGTCTTTGGATCATAGTTTTATTTATTAACATATCAAATATTAAGCTACTAAATATACACAAGTATATAAAATCTAGTTATATGAAAATATTAAAAACAATATCAAATCGTATGCTTAACTTTACTTACAAAATTGACATTAGTTTTGTGTCAAATGTTTATCACGTTAAGTATTATTTAAGTTATTCATTCAATTAGAAATATTAACTATCTACTTAAATAATAGAACTTACACGATTTTCTTGTTGTTGTAAACTTAAACTAGACATGACTGTACTTATTTTAAACTTTAAAAAGTAAAAAATTTGGTAAGATTTTTATGAATAAAACGTGAGCACTGACGTGTGATTGCCTCTGACGTAAAGTACCGGCGGAAGGTCCCTGCTCAGCATCTCCAACCACGCCATATACAGCGGAGCCGACACCGAACCCTGAGTACAAAATAACAGTAGCATACCTATTATTAAATGAATGCTAAGTTATACCCTAACTAAGTTAAACCCTTACGTAAATATGTCGTTATGATCCAGAGGGGAGTCTTTGTACAAAAGTTGTTTACATGCTAATCTTTGTTCCACTTGCGTTTCTGCCATGAAAAAATTATGATTGCATGACTGAGGTTCAGTTTGAAAGGTGGATTATAGCAGTGAGGGTACGGAATCATAACACCTTCAGCAGCCATTAACCCTCCACTGCTGAAAATAAGCCTCCCCTTGGGGGATTTTACCAGTAGTTGCCACGCTTGGCAGGCGGATTAGCAACCGTAGTTAGGATTTGGAGATGCTTTAAGAGGGACGTCGGTGTCCATCCCTAGTTTTCCCTTAGTCGCCTCTTATGTCTTCAACGGAAATTGATAGGGTGGCCATTCTATGCTGGGACCATACGGCCAAGTCTCATAACACTTTAGTCTTTAGGAATGGCAGCGCATGAGAAGTGTCATGAATTTCACAGTGTGTTCTGTGATATTCATGGTGCTGTTCGTATGTATAAGTGACGGTTACCACTCTCTCTTAGGACTGTAATCTTGTTTTTCATTGAAAATTCTATAAGAAAGTTCGTCAGTTTTTTTAAAATGGTATGAACTCATAATTATGGAGGTGTAGCATTAAAACATAGCGCCTTATTTTTCAGCGATCGCGGTTTTTATATTTTTACTTTTTTTAAATTTATTTATTTAAACTAACCTTTCTGGGCATAGGCAATGACATAACGACAAGCCGCGCCTCCTTCGAGTTGGCCAACAACAGTTCGCGCAGTCGCAGCTGTCTGTTAGTCTTTTCCGCCAGCGTTAGTAATTCTGTCTCGTTGATACCGCACTCTGGAATATTATTTCATATTAATATTAATAACATAACTGTTATCGGGGCACAGCTGGAATATTATTGTACAAAAGATCGAAATGAGAAAGTTTAAAATAGCTTTCTATTTTTTTAAGTAAAATTTGTTTAAGATGGCTTTGAACGATGATGATATTATTATCTTTAATTAGTGCAAATATATTTTTCTTTTTCATATAGAGGCGTTGTAGAAATGATGTAGAAATTACCTAATTTACAACCTAATAACAGTATTTATGAAATAGAGCCCTTTTTCCAAAGAATATGGTTGGATAAAAATTTTTTTTTTGTAATTTCGTAGGTGTTAAATCGATCACAGTTTACATGAAATTTTAAAAATTAACATACGAGTAAAACCCGTGGCTTTGCGCGTTAATTAAATAGGATAATAATTAATCCTATGTGTTGTGTACCAGATTTTATTCAATTCTGCTCAGCCATTAAACAGTAGTTGAGTAACAAATATCCAAATATCTTTAGAATTTGTTACATAATATTAGGTAGGATTTCGGTTCTTATTTCTTTTTTTGTTTTCTCCAAAAAAGAAAGAAGAATCGAAATCCTCAATTTAATCCAAAATTTCTCAATTTTATGAATCACTGAGTTTCCTTTTCATCTAATCCAGTATAATCTAAATAATAAGTTTGATTATTTATATAACATGAATATAAATTAATAGCATAATTTATAACGGTACCTTCATTTTCTCCAACAAATTTCTTTATGATTTCATCGAACATTCTCTTTGTATCCTCTTGAGGAGCCTCTGTTATATCTTGCACCATTGTTAAAGATGAGTAGTCTATTCGGAACTTCGAAAGTAAGTTGGCCATACTAAAATAAATTAATGATAACAATTACAAATTAAGAATAAGATTTAAAAACCTTAAGAAAAAGTGTACGTGACTACTTTTTCAATCGTATTTATGAGAAAATTTAAAAATATTCAGTAAAATTTATTTTTTTTTTAAATAAATTATTATCAATAAATTTAATAAAGATCTATAGACATCAGAACCTTACGTATCATGTGTTTTATACTGATAAAGAAGTTATTTACACAATTTTTTAAATAAATTTTTGGTATAGGCATTATTTACAGACGAATTTAGTGTCACCGAGAACAAACACAGTAGTATTTTAACTACATTTATTATTTTTTACGTATTTATATATCAAAATTGTTATTTTATAGTATACGTATTCTACTGTAAATTTTCGGAAAGAACAATAAAAGAATCAATTTGAATATATGTAGAGATAACCTATATACTTTTTAATTTTTGATCGAATATCAGAAGACCGAGGAATAACTACATGGCACAGATAAAAGAAACACTAGGTCTCATGTCGTATAGGGAGGTCAAGGATATGGTCTGGGATACAACTGGCTGGAAGAAGATGCATGAATTAGTTGCACCGACAAGAGGAAACTCTTAAATGAAAAGAAAGATCAGAACTCACTTTCTTTCTTCAAGCTCCATCTCGTGGCGACGATTGGCGAGGGCGAAGATTCTCAGCTTGCAGTTGGCCCACGACGAGCGCTGCGAGATGATGTACGGCAACAGTATGGTGAGGCCACCGTCGTCGTACAACCACCACACGTCCAATGTACCCGACTCCTGTGGCGGAAGGGATTGTTAGTAATAAAGACGCTAGTCAACATTATTAACAATATACTCTATGCGGTAAAACTTTAAAAGTTAACTTTAACCAAGTTACTGGTGATGATATACACCCTTAACAAATGTAAGTAATATGGAAAAATGTCGAGAATTGTCGTTGTGGTGAATTAATTTTTCGCTTCAATCACAATTTGTTGAATTACACCTGCTAGCTGAAAAATTTTAAAGTTTATACTGTAAATATAATTTACCTGTTTCTTCTGGAATATGCTCATCTGTGACAACTGATCTTTTGATATTTCAAGACCATTAGATGTTTTGTATACAATTTGTCTATGGAAATCCATTTTTTTGTCTTTTTTCTTTTCTTTGGTATCTTTTTCTGATATCGTGTACGAGCGTGATATCGGTGTGTTTATCAAACCTGCAATTAAATACATATAAATTTACTATTGCAATATCTTTTTATGTATAGATTATTGATTTATGAATTAATCCATGAGTAACACAGTAGTCGTTCATTGAGTATTCTGCAATGTTCGTCCTATTATGTCGATAGACGACTGTTACCACTTGGGGCGGAAGGGGTGGTTAGGAATGCAGATTACTAGTCCCATTGCTAGCAATATACCCTGTCAGGTCGACCTCCACGTGGTCCTCCCTGGAAACCATCGTGTTGAATTCCAGGTGTATACATCACTAACTGACCAGCATTTTCAATCTCATCTATCATTCCTCACTAGTGCCCCGCCAGCGTATACCATTAGCACAGGCGGGGATACCATTCCATTATCATTCATAAAAGAAAATAGACTGTTACCACTTTTTATCAGATGGGTAGTCGTCTCGTTTGCCATTCTAAGCCTTGAGAAAGTTATGCTCACTAAAATACCCAATCAAATGGCGTGGTTGACCAGGTTCCCTAAAATGTGGTTAAGCACAATGACGGTTCATTTATTCATCACACTCGTGAATGGGTGCTGCTCGTAGGGACTAGTTTCTTTCGAGCACTGTAACAAATTATTTTAAATTTGTTCTTTTTATTTCTTTCTAAGTATCACAAAAAATATGAGCCACTAACCGGTGAGATTGTTCCTGCTGGTGGGGTGTGAATCTGGTGAGCGGATGTCGAGGTCGGAGTCGGCGTGCATGATGTTAGAGGGCCCGCGACGTACGCGAAGCTCGCCGCTGCCGCTGGAGGTGGCAGTGTGGCCGCCAGCCGGCGTCGCCGTCGCCTCCTCCGCCGCCGTGCCATGGTCTAAACCGCCCGCCACGCGTACTATGGCCACTGCTAGACGATTCTCGAATGCCGTGCTGCCGACACATGAGTATTATATAATCACAGTCTAAGGATCTCTATCCTATCAGTTGCCCAATGAACACATCTAAGTAGCAATGAGCCTGGAAATGTAATTGTTTGAGTCATGTCAAAAACGACGGTTTAGTAGTTGTTCCTTAAGATGTGGTACAATGATCCACCAGGTATGTTACGTAAGATAGACCGGTCTCCAGTGATCTATTCTCCAATAATGCTTATTTTTTACCTTGGCCTTTTGGCCTTTGCACACATTTGCACCCTTTTACCCCGTTTTTTTACCAGGTTTCTTTACCAATTCTTATGGATGCTATTATATGTGAATGTTATCGACCATTAAGCCCTTTTTGGACAATCTCATTGGTATGGCATTTTTTCACAAAAGTACTACAGTTAGAGCTTGCAATAATAGCTTTTTTTACATTGATGATATTTTTCATGTGAGTATAATTTCGTTACATACTTACTGTAAAACATTGAAGTAAGATACAAGATCGTTGGCAGGTGCCGTGGTCCAGTCGGACTTGTACCCCATGAGCAGCACGTTGGGCGCCAGTCGGCCGACACCCGCCGCCTGCATAAGTGCTCTCGCGCCGAGCTCGAAGCTGAATCCGTTCACGGCACTGCAGAACGCGCGCACTTTCCGTCCGCGTAACCATTCGTCGCCTGATCTGATACGGGCTGATTGCTCCTTGTACGATAGCTTTTTCTGTAAAGTTTTTTATGGATGACAATGGAATGGTAACCCCGCCTACACTAACAGTATACGCTGGCAGGGCACCAGTGATGGATAATAAGTGTGACGGCAAGTCAGTTAAAAAAAGGCAGATTAGTTAACCTATCGTAAAAATACACCAGGAATTCAGCACAATGGTTTCCAGGGGGGACCACGTGGAGGTCGACCTGACAGGGTGTATTGCTAGGAATGGAACTGGTAGTCCTCATTACTAACAATCTCTTTTCCCCCTGTAATTTATATAGTAGAACAAAAGTGTCGAGTTCGAATTTAGGTCGGTTTAATTTAGGAAACGAACTGTTCTGGTTTGGATTTGTGTGATTTGGGTCAATATAAACGATAATAATCGAATCAAATTGAAAATTCTCATTGAACACACCTCTGTAATATCTCCGACGATCATTAACGAGCCGGCTTTAGTGATGAGGTAACCGAGGTCGACGAGCGCCGGCCTGGTTTGCGGGGTGCCTGCCAGTACCAGCAGCTGGGGCCAATAGTTCTTTACGTGCTCCCCTGTGCGGGCCAAGTTGTGGGCGCTCGATAATGCGGTTTTATACATCTGCGCTTGAGTACTGCTACCCCAGTTAACATCTGTGAAATGTTAATTATTTACTAGTTTATACCCGCGTTTTTTTCCGCGTGACTGGAATGTCATCATCATTATATCAGTCCTTAATCGTCCACTGCTGAAAATAAGCCTTCCTCTCCGGGGATTTTGTCAGTAGTTGCCATGCTTAGAAGGCGAATTGGCAACCGCAGTGAAGTTTTAGAGATGTTTTAAGAAGAACGCTGCTGCCCATCCGTCGCCGTCTCTCAATCGTCTTTTACGACAGCCATGGGAAAGGAAGGGGTAGCCTATTCTATACGACGACTAGTTATTGTTAATTGACTGAGATCAAGTTATGAGAAAAAGCCGCTTATATCTTTCTCCATCTTATAACTAAGGTATCTATATTTAGATTTGGTATTATACCTATATCAGAGAGAGACTTTGTACAAAAGTCGTTTGTTTGGGCACCTCCGTCCTACTCGTGTTTCTACCGTGAAGCAGTTATGTTTGTATGGCTGTATTTCGGTTTTAGGGTGGGATATAGCAGTCAATTTACAGGGTACAGAGGAATAACAACGGAGTCCTCAGGAATGCCAACGAATGGGGGTTATCATGGGCGAAACAGTACTCTATTATGTCCATGGTACTGCTCGTGTCTATAGGCGACAGTTACCACTTTCTATCAGGTGGGCCGTCACCTTGTTTACAATTCTAAGTTGCATAAAAGAAACCATAGTAATACGGGTATACCAAATTTTATAATGATTGGCGGAGTCATTAAGGCACTAAAGAGATAATAAATAAATAAACAAATACACCTGCGTTCACATGTATAATATTAACAAAGAATATGTTTGTTTTCCTATTGATACTATCTTTAATACCTAAATATAAATTACTAGAATTACATTAGAATCTCCTCAGTGGTGAAATAATATGCAAAGCAGATTATATTGCTACGAGTACCATATATCGAATAGAAGGAAAATAATAATACGTGGTATTTATTTAGGTACCTATAACTGTTTCCGTATACTTGTATTATCTTTATTACATATAATAAAAACGCAATGAACTCAAAATTCGTAAATTAATAACATTTTTAGAAAAGTACCTATTTTATGGGAATAACTACGTATAGTAATAGAGATACTGAATCGAAAATCATGTTATTAAGTATTTTTTTTCTGTGTGTTGGCATTTCACCTTGATTCATAAATGGCCAAATTGATTGCAGTTAAATATGGTTCAACGTATAGTCTATAAAAAATGTAAAGAATTATCCTCCAAAGGTTTTGAATCTTTTTTTTATACAACTTCGAATGGCAAACAAGCTATAGACATGAGCAGTACCATGGACATAACAGAGTATACTGTTTCGCCCATGATACCCCCCATGCGTTGCCATTCCTGAGGACTCAGGTGTTATTCCTCTGTACCCAGTAAATTCACGCCATATCCCACCCTTCAAACCGAAACACAGCCATGCAAACACAACTGCTTTACGGTTGATACACGAATGGGACAGAGGTACCCAAGCAATTGACTTTTGTACAAAGTTTCCCTCTGGTAAGTATCTTGTGTCGTATAACAATATATATAATTAAAGATTGTGCCCCACAAAATAACCGATTTCAATTGCGACCAAAACCAGTTATTTTAATTTAAAAACTAAACTACTAAACTATTTTTGATAAAATTTCTATAGGACCAATCTGTAAGTATATTCTTTAAGATAAAAAAGAATTATTGAAATCAGTATAGAACTCACCGAGTTATGAGGGAACAAACATACAAAAAATACAACCGATTTGAGAACCTCGTTCGTTTTGAAGTCACTTGAAAAGTATGAGTTCAACGCAACGAAATTTTCATACGAAATTATTTATATATGTATATGCGAACGAACTTGTAGACAGAAATATAGAGTATTTGCTATCAGGTATGTGCTATTCTTATGCGTGTAACTCCAAACACATTTCGAGTGTGATGTGTTATCGTTGTTTAGCGGCTCTAAGGAAGCTAAGTGGGTACCTCTACTTATGTTCTATATATAACCAGCTTTTGCAATTGGTTTTCAATAACAGGTTAAGAGAAAATGGTGCAATAATTCATTGAGATCATTCAGCTCCGATTTAGCAGCCGCTAACAGTGGTTATTTTTGTTTTGTGAACATCTACTGACATTAGCGTTACTATGCAAAAATTAAATGTATTCTATCCATACATATAACAGCTAAACTTGCATCGATCGTTAATCAGCATGCGAAGAAATTTCTGGCTTTAAATTGGCATCAAAATATTAATTAGTCATTGATGACTCAGAAGTATGATTTATTTACTTAAGAAGGTTTTTCTTTGAAAAACAAAATTATTTTCTTTATTTTCTTGATGATAAGTGCTGGACATATTTAGATATATTTTTAGATATAATATATTTAGATATATACACATAGATTTAATACTTCGTAGCCGTGTAGTTACAGTATAGAAAGGGTTCTTTTCGCATGGGTGTCGTAAAAGGCAACTAAGGGAACTTAATGGTCAAGGGATGAGCAGCCCTCCCTAAAAACATTACCAAAGTCTAATTGCGATTGCTAGCCACTCTGCCAAAAGTGGCAACTATTGGCAAAACCTCCCAATAAGGGGAAGCATATATTCAGCTGTGGACAGTTTACGGCTGATATGATGATGATGATGAATACTAAATAAAGGGGAAAAGAAATCCTTCAGTCTATTTTCACCACCTTTTCCAACAGACACTATTGAAAAAGGTGGTCGAATTGGACTGCAATATTTATATTATTTTTAAGAGATTTCAAAACAGAAGTTCATCGATTTTTCTCTTTATATTAAAAATTCTTTTTTGTTTATAAGGTCGGAATCTAATAAAGGGATTTCGTAGGAATTGAGTAAAATCTTCAAATTTTTTAAGCATAACAATAAATACCTGGTTTCCGATAATGCACGATGAGATAGAGCGTGAAGAATATGGCGAATGTGACTAGAGACATTATCCAGCTGATGAGCAGCATAATGGCCACACACATCAGAAAACCGAGCAGAGACAGCCATACGTTGTAATACTGCCAACAATTAGCAATTGTAAATTATGTGGGGTAAAATTTCTTTTAAGTAAGTGTTCAACTAGTGAAATATTTTGCACTAAAAAAACATGGATCGAAATATATAAAATATTTTGTGCCTCGCGTACTAATACGACGCATTTAATTGTTATTTTAGTATAGGAATTGGAGGGCTCTAATCTTTTTGGCGTATTTCGATCCATGCATGTTTTCTTTTTCATATATTTTGTAATTTTAATTATAAAAATTCAAAATTAACAATAATTGTGTCTCCTATACATGTCTCCTATGTACACGATGTATCCAACTGTCGAGTTATCAAAGAGCAATAAGTATACAAAAGAAAGGCTCAAAAATATTGTCTTTTTTTAATTTTTGATTCATGTCCTAATATGTTCTATAACATGGGTAAATTCATACTTTTAGGTAATGTTCATACGGCTAACGATTTTACCCTGTATAGCACTCTATTAAATTAACCTGAATGTATTTTTATTTCCATGTGTGTGTGAGTTAAATTATCTAAATAGGTGTCTAGTCCGCAACATAGTTTAGAATAAAACAACAAATCGTAGAAGTTATAAATAGCTATACTTATTATACAAAACAGTTTATTCTAATAATATTAGGTAGGTGGTATTTGAAACGTAAGCAAATGGAGGTAATGGGAAAAGGTATGTCATCTATAGATATTCAAACATCTTGTTATTGTTTTTCAGCTAATTTAAAGGGTGAAAAAATACAGGGTTAAATTAATATCATAAAATAAATAGAGTTTCTTGTAACTATTAATTTGTCAACTAATATTGGTATAGGAGACAATTTTTTTTAAAGAACTTAAGCTAAGTCTTTAATACTTTATACTGGTGCGCATCGCCGATGTTCCTGCCTTCTACCTCTGCTGTAGAGGGCGAGAATCAGAGGGCAGTGCGCGGATTTAGTTTTAATTATAAATGTACAGGTATCACAATTTAGTCCGAATGTTCATCATATTTTTTAATATCTATAGGCCTAACAAATAAGTTACCTTACTATTCCTAATAAAAACTAGCTTTAACAAAAATGAAATCTTTTAACAATTAAAGATCCTTACGTTTAATATATTGGTTACCATAATATTATACAGAAATAATACATACTACTGATAGATATAAATAAACCTATCGATATACGCATCTACTATATAATCTGTAAATGATATTGGTGTCGATAGTGAATCAAACAATATTTTTAACTTACCCTGAAAGTAGGTCGCCAGCCGAGAGGGCGAACGAGAGCCGCGTGGAACGTACAGAAGTTGATCAGTGCGTACGATGTTAGGTAGAAGTTTGAGATGAGAGGAGCAATAGTGTTCAGATCGGCTGTAATTGTAAAGAATACTCTATTATAATGCACATAAATACAATTTATTACATTTGAATTTATTATTTAAGGCATATTCTTGCATCTAAAGCATTTTATTCCTTCAATTCGATAGCAAACTGAGGGCCTACTATGAAAAGTTTTCCGAAAATTCGAAGTTAAACAAAACAGAAATTTGATGTTAAAATTACATAATATATACATGCCGTTTGGAAATATTAAAAATGTTAAAATATTGTTTCTTTGGACTTTTATGACAGGATGTATGACGAACGAAATGTTAAACTCCATTTATTGGTCCGATTTTGGTATAAACAAAAACACGAAATTGAGTCCGAAATTTTGGAATTTCATTTCATGGTAGACCCGCTGCTCGCAAATTTTTACGAAAAAAAATAATTGTATGAAAATGTATTTATTAATATTATTATCAAAATAAGTAATGAATAATAAATAACCCTAAAACAACCACCAGGTGCATATTCGTGCACTAATTTTAATTGGTATTTACCTGCATTACTCATTAACGTAATGACCGAGATAAATATTTCGATATTAACTTTTGATGGGAATTGACTAGTTTTAAACATATAGTAATTAACCTATTTACTGTGGCCTAGCGTCTATGTCATACAAAAATTGGACTACTATTAGTTCGATGATTTGAATTGAATTAATACAGAAATGACCATGGCAAGAATGAGGTAATACAAAAAAGACTTGTTGCTACAGGATAATTTAAATGGAACTCGGTAGAGATGAAGGTGAGACAAACAGGTTATTTTTTTTTTCGTTATTTATAATATGCAGTAAAAGTATAATACAGTCTTATTATAAAAGTAATATAAAATACTGCCTATCTAAACAGTATTTAATAAAACTCTGTTTATGTGATTAAACATTGTTTAGTCTGTAAGAACAATGTTTATTTGTAATTTAATATGCTAAAATCTATAGATTGTTGTAATAAAATTGCTTATACCTTTTATTTGTAATAAGACGCTTTTTATTGTTCAAACATAAACAGATTTTAGACAATGTTTTGTAGTAATGTGCTTAAATATGTATTTAACATCAGTGTATCGCTAGTTTAACTTTTATATCGTAAGACCGATAAGGTTTAGATTTAGTCCACTTACCGATAAGAAGAAATAGAAGTGAGACCAAGAAAGTGAGCACATATCCACGGTAAGGCTCTCCATGCTTGCCGTAAGGCTTGGAGAAGAAGATGAGGCCGGGGTAGATGCGGTCCACACCGAGGGCTTGGATGAGACGAGGAACAGAGAGCAGATTAGTAAGAGCAGTGGACAGTGTCGCCGCCCAGCAGCCGCCATAGATTAAAGGACCCCATCCAGACATCAGTTGCATAACCTGAGTAAATAATATATATTTATTATTATTTTAGAGGATTTTTTCTGTAGGTACTGTTTTATCACAATACCATCCAAAATGTAGTAAAGATTGGAATAGCAAAACGAAAATTTGTACTAAATCTGCAGGTAATGTCAAACAGTGAATGCAATAGTATAAAAATTATGTGAACAGTAAATAAAATTAATATATTGAATTTAAAAATCGCATTACATTATCTATACTTATAATAAATCTGTAGAGAGGTCAATTCTGTACATGAAATATATTTCCAAAATAAATCGCATTACATTATCTATACTTATAATAAATCTGTAGAGAAGTCAATTCCGTACATAAAATGTATTTCCAAAATAACTATCAGGGGGTGATTAGTGATCGATACTGATGCCAAAAATGCAATTAGTAAAATTTTTGTCTGACTGTCAGTATGTTCGTTATAGAAACAAAAACTATTCGACGGATTTTAACGAAACTTGGTACAATTATTCTTCATACTCCTGGGCAGGTTACAGTATACTTTTCATCACGCTACGATCAATAGGAGCAGAGCAGTGAAGGGAAATGTTAAAAATGTCCACTCGCGACGCCGGGACGGGCCGCTAGTTTATAATATGTACCAACTTCTATTTCTACCACATCAAATTCAATTGGTAATTCAAATAAACACAAATACTTATATCAGAATACAATTATAAATAAAATTTACGATTATACAAAAATCAATAGCGACATCCAATTATGACAAAATTTATATAAGTAAACTTTATAATAATTATTATATTTTATATAATATATGTTAATAATTATTAAATATTATAATAGTGCATGTGGTGTTCGCCTGTAAAAGACTTTTACATTGAGCAAAATTATTTTTTGTGTTATTGATTAAGTAGCATGTAAAATGTAAACGTTGTAGGTTAACCTTATTAACTAAATAAATAAACTCTAAAAAGAATTTTATAAAAATCATTTTTAAAATTGGCAAAAATATCGAATAACATACACATAAGAAGAAAATAAAAACGAATTGGGAACCTCCTTCTTTTAGAACTCGCTTAAAACATTCAATAGTTGTGTTTGTAACCAATAGTGCAGCTACAAGCTCTACATTCTACAATGTCAAGGTCGCAAGGTGAATACGCTTTTAGCGCATTCTAATTTGGCGGCAAAGGTATCTATCTATATGTTGCGTATTTTAGACTTAATGGTTTCTATGTTACATCATCATACCCTCTGGTCTTTTCAACTTATATTTAGTTATTGATTTATTTATACTTTATTATACACACTGATAGTACATAAAAATATGACAGAGTTAAGTAAATGTACAAAGGCGAGCTTAAATCTAAGAAAGTACTCTTCCAGTAAACCCAAAATGGAAAGGAGCATCAATGTTAGCGGGTTTTATAATATGGAAAGTGGTAACCATCGTCTATAGATATGACAACATTATGGACATCACAGAATACTCGGTGACACCAATGGTACTGCTTATGCATTACCATTCTTAAGGACTACGATGGTATACCTCGGTATAGTATTATTTTAATACTATTGCGTCCTTCAAACTCAAACACAGCTATGCAAGTGTAGCTATTTCACGGAAGAAAGTCTCATGCAGATGACTTTTGTACAAAGACTTCCTCTAGTAGAAAAACTTACAAAGTAGAAACGTATTAGTAATATTATTATTAGTAATAGAACGTAATTTACATCCATAAATGCCACTTCAAACTCAGTAATAAGTAGAGTACCTATTCATGAAACAAAACAAATTTCCGCAAGCTGCATAAATGGAAATATGAAAATATTTTTAACGCTTTTGTACAAAAGATTAAAAAAAAAAATTCCATTCCAGAAATTGTTCAATTTCATGAATATACTAAGTTTCATATTGATGTACCTAATATCTTCTGTGGTTTGGGGGGGAAAGGGATTGTTAGTAATGGAGTTTGACAGCCCCATTGCTAGCAATATGCCTTATTAGGTCGACCTCCACGTGGTTCCCCCTGGAAACCATCGTGAACAATTCTTGTTGAATTCGTCACGATGGGCTAACTGACCTACTTCATCCTCACTTGTCATCCTTCACTGGTGCCCCGCCGGTGTATACCGATAGTGCGGGTGGGGATACCATTCCATTATCATCCATTAAAAAAAATATCTTCTGTGGTGATCTTGTAAATATTATTGAGAGGTGCTCACCGAATAACTATTATGCAGTCCATATTTGCAAGTTCCGTTGGTGTACGTGCAGTCGCTGATTTCACTGATATTGTAAGTTCCATTGACAACAATGCTTGCGATTCCATTAGCATCTCGCAGAGCTCCACCCCCGGAGAATAAAACCATCAGCGCATAACTCAACATGGAGATCAGCAGCGATAGCAGTGTACCTTTGGGGATGGCAGAAGCGGGGTCCTACCAATTAAAAAACATTAATAAATACAATATTAATAACAAGTAACATAGTGGTTATCAGTACTGAGTGGAATATGAAGTTTAAGAGCCATGTTTTTTGCGATGTTAATGGTACTGTTCATGTCTCTAAGCATCGGTTACTACTGCCACTTTCCATCAAGTGGATGGTAAGCTTATTTCTGGTAAGACCGTTAATTTTTACTATAAAGAACCATCTGCTTCTATAGACTACATAGAGCAACACATAGAACTTCATTTAAAACTCCAAGTATTGCCTGCATGAGACAAATAAAAGTAGGCGACCAATGAGAGATGTTCCTATATCAAAACAGAGATCGTTATTAGCAGTTTGTTCTCAATTATTGTCAGATATAGACAGCAATAAAATACCAATTATTGGCAACAGGGTTGAGGCAAATTATTTTACATAAAACAAGTCCTGATGTTTAGATTGATCATCATCGTCATATCAGCTTTTAACTATCCACTGCTGAACATAAGTCTCCCTCTTGGGGGGTTTGCCAGTAGTTGCCACGTTTGGCAACCGTAGTTAGGCTTTAGAGATGTTTTAGGAAGAACGCTGCTGCCCATGTCTCGCCTTCCCTTAGTCAACTTTTACGACACCCACGGGGAAGGGAGGGATGGCGTATTCTATGCCGGGACTACGTGGCCGAAATTTTAGATTGATATGACCTTACAAAAATTTTTTTAATCATTTTTGAATTTACTATTGACTTTAATTTCTAAATGACATTCAATAAGCTTCTTAGGCTATAGCCTACAACACTATAGTGTTAATATTAATTTAGTGCTTCAGCTCTAATTGTTTATCGTCTTGTATGTGTAATCATAAGTTACACCGGGAATAGAATTGAGTCACCAAATAATTGCTCCTTCAATTGGCTTCAATAAATCGACCCGTCGTCATTCGTTTGCACGAATGAAATAAGAAATAAAATACCTACAGAAATACCACTGGTTAAATAAACATCTCGATTGGGCAAATATTTCATTCAATTTATCAAATTGATAAAACTGTGCAATAAGGAGTAAGAAATAAAACTTCAATTTGAGTAATGTTTTTTCTACAGCTTGGAATGACAAACAAGTTGGAGATCCACTTGATGGAAAGTGGTAACCGTCGTCTATAAATATAAACAGCACTATGGGCATTTTGCTGTGTAGTTCCGATATAGAATGGGCCAATTATTCCTTTCTCATGGGTATCGTTATAGCTGATTATAAGGATGTTTAATGGTTGAGAAATGGGCCCCAGCATCCTTTTTAAAACAACACCAAAGCCTAATTGCAATTGCCAACTCGCCTGACAAGCATGGCAACTACTGGCAAAACCCCCCTTATGGGGGAGACCTATGTTCAGGAGTGGATGGCCAAAGGTTGATTTAATAATAATAATAATGGACATCATAAAATATACTGTCAAGACCACATTAGATCTCATTCCTGAGAACTAAGCTTTTTTTATGCAACTTAGATTGGCAAACAAACATATCTGATGTAAAGTGGTAACCGTAGCCTATAGACACGAGCAGTACCATGATCATAACAGAGTATACTGTTTTGCCCATAATACCCCCCCATACATTGCCTGTAAGCTATAAGGCCTCTATCAATATGGCAGTGCTTTTGAACAATTACGAACTGAAACACGGTCAAGTAAGTTACGCTGCTAAGCGGCAAATACAAGTGGGAGAGAGGTACTCAGCGGCCTTTATACAAAGTATCCCTGGTATCAAAAGATACATACTACCCGTCATGTAAGGAAACTAGCGTGAGAACAAATGGATTCACTGGGGAATTCGATATCTTATTTATGTTATTGATGAATCATATGGAATTCTTCGATACCTAGTATTATTTATTAGGCCACAGTTGATGATACGTGTAGCACACGGCACTCTTTTCTAATTTATATAGACATGAACAACAATATAGATTCACCAGAAAGAAATGTGAGGAGGAAGAGAGGGAGACTTTGTACAAAAGTCGATTGCTTGGGTACCTCTATCCCATTCGTGTTTCTACCGTGAAGCAGTTGTGTTTGCATGGCTGTGTTTCGGTTTGAAGGGTGGGATATGACGTGAATTTACAGGGTACAGAGGAATAATACCTGAGTCCTCAGAAATGGCAACGCAAGGGGGTATCATGGGCGAAACAGTATGTGTATGTACTGTTATGTCCATGGTACTGCTCATGTCTATAGGCGACGGTTACCACTTTCCATAAGGTGGGCCGTCAGCTTGTTTGCCATTTTAAGTTGTATAAAAAAAAAATAGATATCACAGAATACACTGTATCGCCCATTTACTACTCTCCTATATCAGAGATATTAAAATCGCTCTGGCGGTAGATTTCATTAAAAGCTATTTTAGACTTATACATATTGTTTAACTATAATAGGAACTGTGCCTATATCATATTTTTATCAACATTATGAATATAAAAGTTTGCACAGATGTTAGGATGTTTATATGTCTTAAATGACTTCGAAAAATTTATGAAAACATTCGAAAAATATGTGCTGTACTAAATTACTATTAGCTATAAATACTATGTTAATTAAAGAAATCCATTCCTTAAAACTAGTGTTAGTATTTCATAAACAGGGTCTCATTATTTTTTCCTGGAAAAATCCTTATATTAACAGAAACTAAAAAAAAATTAAAATTCTCGAAAAAAAGAATAAACCGTATGTGTACAAAGGACACACCACTAATTACAGTACAGAATATATATACCTATTATTATGTAGTGCTTTTGATTTTGACAGCTTATTCTTGTTTTTCAAGAATATTAATTAATTTGTTTAGTTTTTTGTACTTATTATTATACTTATTATTATATAAAGATTTTTTTCTAGGAATTTTTTTTCTGAGACCCTAATCATTATTACTATTAATACTAGTTTCAAGAAACGGATATCTTTAATACATACATATATATACTGTATCTGTATATATTCACTTGTGTGAATTAGGAAAAATAATTCTTGTATGTTAATCTAGATTTTAGAAAATAGTCTATTTTTGTACCTTTCATATTTCATTCAAATACATTCAATCGTTTAAATGTATTTAATAAATATCCAAATATCTCTTTATATCCAAAGATACTTTACAACGTAGAAAATACACGTAACGCGAACCTAGGTTAATAATAAATTAATAAAATAAGATACCCTGGTAGGTATCTTGTAGAAAATGTCTTTCAATTGGTGACAACGGCGGTGTGGGGTGTGTGTCGACAAGGGGCTGACACCCGCGCCCGGTTAATTAAGGAAACTTGACGTCATTCGCGTGCAATTATCTGGTCACTGACGCTTTTATTGTATAGCTTTTTATATAACACATATTGTTCAACTAAATTACACGCTTAATTCTTTTTAGGAAACCAATATTTTTCAGGAGTTTTAAAATAGATCACATTTATAAAATGGTATAAAACGAAAAAAATAAAAAAATTTAGCTAAAAAAAAAGATCAAAGAAAAAATGGAGATAAATTGTTTGTGAGTTGAACGCAAAAAATGATAGAATGGAATTCTAAAACAAAATAAATGAGCAAGGCGAGGTAATTATGACATCCGTAGCGCAATAATAGAGACGTTGCTTTGTATGACGATATCCTGGGTTCAATTCTCGGTCAAACAATTTTTTAAATAAATCTTCAAAATAAATAAGTACTTTAGGTAACATGATTAACAGACATATAATTTATTTAATTATACTTTTGCACACATTGGAAAATGTCTAAAGAGCAGACTTAATGCCTAATGGCATTCTCTATCAGTCAACCACCACGACAAACAGAGAGAGCAAATGGCAGTGCACAGTTTAAAAAAATAGTAAATTAAATAAATATTTTGAAAGATAACAATTTATGATAAATAAACATACAAACATATAGAATAATATACTTACAAAAAATATACACACATAAATCACATACAATACATATATAAATAACTATACATAGTATATATTAAATTAATAAATATATAAATCATAACTATAATATATTTATATGACAAGACTATATATAATTTATATAACAAGATATAGATATTATATAAGTTTAAGGAATAATAATAATTTACCTTTAGATCCCCAGAAATATTAGCTCCAGCTTGAATGCCTGTCACAGATGGGAAGAAGATGGCAAAAACGCTGAAGAAATCCTGATTTAGACCTTCACTGTATCGAAAATCTGGTCTGAAGTTCTCCGAGAAAATTGTACCTATAGAAAACGTAGCATTGTATATTATTGCAGGTATTATTTTAGAAAACTTTTGAATATTTTATTTGTTAACTGTTATGCATCATCTTCCTGTTTTTGTTCCATATTCATTTGAAGTCAGCGTTATAAGTATTTATTTTACATTCATCTCTATTTGCAGTCCTCTCAACGTTCACTCTGGAAATATTATCTTCCACATAACTCATCCATCTCTTTTTAGATTTCTTTGTGCATTTATTTTCATTCACATTAATAATCAATACTTTATTACAAAAATATTTTCATCTTTACACATTATATGTTAATGCCAAGAAAGACTAACACTTCCCAAATTTTATATTAATGTTGCTTTACAGCTTTCAAACTACCTCTAATGTAAGTACTTATTCTTATACTTGACTATTCCTGTCACACCACACATTCATCGCAACATTCGCATTTCAGCTGCATGAAGTCATCTTTCGTCCATCGCGTATCCGAGTCAACATTGAAACCCATACAGAACAGCAAATCAGATCACGTTCTTATTAACTATTATTCAAAATAAAAAATTGAACTAAAATGGTAAAAAAATATTCAGATTGCATTTAATCAGTCCGATTTATATTAGTGGGAGTTTCCAAGTAAATTTCATTCCATGAACTAATTTTCAAAGTAAATACGAATATCACTTTTGCACAGTATTTCAATTATAAATATAGAACTTACTGCTAAAGCCAACAAATCCTTGCGTAATCTCTTCAGTGCTCTTTGGTCCTATAATGGTGCCTACAATAAAATCGACCATCGCCGCGACTATTATTGCTATCAGGAAATTCTGCAAAAAAATGTTTTGTTAAAGTTATATCAAGGAAAGTTTTTGGATAAGGCGTATATTTTCATTATAGTCTATCGATATTAGGTAGGCATGAAAATAATATTAAGGACTGAAGATATCTTAAAAAATACAAACAGATGTACAGAATATGTAGAGAATCACATTCATGCCGCAAAGTCGAGGCGTCTATGACGAATTCCGGACTCATCATTGCCATTCTGCTGTCAAAAATAGAATCGTCGAGGTTTATAAATTTCAAATGCTAGGTACTTCCATGGTTTTCAACGAGACATGATATATACTCCTATGTTCGGATTTTAGACCAGAAAAATATTCTAACGGAGAAACAAATATCCCTAAAATCAGTATAATTGGGTATATTTGGTAATATGTTAATATATTTAAATATGAGTCTGTATATGCTAATGATGACAGCACATTATTTATTATAAACAGTTACTTGCAATAAAAAAAAAATTAAATAATTTATTTTGCTTATTTTAAATTCACTTGCCATAATTTGTCTATTATACTTTTAATAAAGCATAGATCAAACTAAACTCATTTAAAAAAGAGTATGTTTTACAACTTAGAACAGAAAGCAAACACTTAGGGCGTTGATGTCTATTAGATAGTGACTAAAATGTGTTATGTTTGTTGTAATTTAAAATGTTTTTCCACTTTAAAGTATGTTTATCTGTCTGTCACATCAGATACACATATGACGTGACGGACAGAAAACGAAATATCATCACTTCTGTATAAAATAGTTAAAAAGTAATTTGTTAAAGAGCAGTCACGTAGAATTAAAGTAATTAGCGCTCAAGGATAATTCCAGTACAAACGGAGCTTTTACAGCGCAAATTAATGTAATCAAGTTAATCAGAAGACTAATTATATTAACGTTGTGTCGTAGCTACGGAATGATGTAGCGCATGTTTTACCTAACTGCTGAAGAATGGAGGTTAATGTTTTGTGGGCGTAGCGTATAAGTAATGAAGGGTAACATGGGCGTCACAGCGCGTTTTGTGATGCTCACAGTATTGTTTATGTTTGTAAAGGAGACAGTCGTCAGCTTGTTTATCATTTACGGTTTCTTCTTCACATTTTTCACATATTCTTTTATTACACACATAGTCAATCTTTTTATATTATATCATAGCATGGCATGACACGGCACGATTTTATCATAAAGTGTAAAATTATTTTTATAATGGCGGAATGCTAGTTAATACTCAATCTCTATGACCATCCTTGGACATCGTTTTTCGTCTGCACAGATTTTAATTTTAAATTATCTTATGAAAATGGATATAGGAATAAAGTAGTTGTGTCTTAATTATATATGATACAACGTATTTAGAACACGATTTACTTATGTAGCAAATCTAATACAAATTTTTATTGGGCTCATTCATATTGCTGATTTAATAACAGACTTTTAAACTTCCTCATAAACTTTTAGTGGTATGACAGTGGGATTTTACAGGAAAATCCAAACAGTTTTTAAAATAAACTTCTTTCAAGGGTTAATTCCTAAAATTACAGAACCGTTGCCAGCTTTCGTTATTTACGTACGGAGCTATTGATTGCGTTTACGTTGAAGGACTTCAAACGTCGAGGGCGGTTTGTTTACTGAATGTGAGGTCACTATAGGGTAGGGTTGCCACAATTATAGATCTAAATAAAAAATACGTATTTCTGTTGAGAAACAATAATTCAAGTGGGGTTTGCTTTAAACTGAAAAAATAATCTCTACACAAAAGTTTATGAGATCAGAGGCTATGGATTCTACAAAATTATGAATTGAATCAGGGAAATTTAATGCAAGAGATTTATAATAATTGAATGAAAAAAAAATTCACAATTTTATTTATAATATCACTATTTTGTTTATAATATTAGGGCAGTTTAACACATAGATACAGATTTTTATTAAAAGGGTGTAATAGAAATCTATTAGAAATAAATAAATATTAATAATTATTTCAAATCATGATGTCAGAAGTGGCAGCCCTCACTGTGCATATCAGCTGCCGCCCAACCCTGTCATTCCTATACCTCGTTTACTGGTGACCGACTCATGCATCGATAGGTTTCTACAAATCCACATGTATGTATCTATTCGATATCATTCTGCACCAATTGATTTTGTCAACCTCCGTGGTGCAGTTGCATAAATAAAAGTACCTTGATAGTCTGTGCTAGAAGATACAGAAACAATAATAAGCAAACACCTATTTTTAGTTCAAGTCATATATATGATTTTTCTAACAATCGTTCGACATATATGTCACAATACACCTCCAGTGAACACAAGAACAGTATAAACTATAAAAGCTATTAACCAATATGTCGTCTCACCACGTGCTTTCTTATGCTATGTTTAAAGAATAATGTAAAATGTGAAGTTAAAAGGATACATTTACTATAATTTTAGAAAGGTAAGGAACTACCAACCTGTGCTTTGCTCTCCCAATCCATGCCAATAGCGCAAATGATGCACATAACGATTAGGGCAATGGTTCCTACCAATCTTACGTCGCTAACTCCGCTGTCTATGATCTTCAAACCATTAGTCCGGAGTAAATCATTTAAAGAGTCGCAGAAACCGATAGTGTTCATACTGGCTGCCACAGCATTGGCAAAGGCAAAAATTATACCGACAGAAGCACCGAACTCTGGACCCAACGATCTTGATATAATATAATATATACCACCTAGAAAGCAAGAACTTTTAATAGTGATAGTTCCGTGTATCTACATTTTTTTTATACAACTTAGAACTTAACCGTTAATAGTGATAGTTCCGTGTGCCATCTATGTGTTCTGAATATGAAACGCACTGCAAACACAACTGCATATATTTATGCTTTAAAGTACCACTGTTAGTATATTGTATTTCGGACTTCAGAGGTAAAGTAGGGCAATGGTTATTGCAAGAGGTGCAATAAATAATTATATTTTCTTATGACTGATGAATGCAGAACCTCGATTATATTTCAATACATAGACTGTTCTGTCAAGTGTGGAACGCGACCATCAAATCACATATTTAGCGATTTTGGTGTTAATTTTTTTTATAAATAATCATTTAAAGATTACATTGACGGAGACCTTAATCTATCTGATAGCTATAAGGTGACTTTATCCAGAAATATTGTTTGTTTATATTGTTTGAAATACCTTATCGTAGTACAGTTTTGAGCTTCATTACGTTTCACCTATTGCATGATATTGTATGATATTTATTTTTTAATACTAATATGAACTATATTTAGGAATTATTAGATTTATAAGATTAGTCTCTAGGATATATATTTATATATATATACTTTAGAAACCAATAAATTTGAGGAACTTACCTCCTTTTACTTCCCCATTTGTACATATGGCGCTCATTGATAATGTTGTGATGACGCATACCACAGCCGATATAGCTATGATAACCAGTGACAAGCCGATGCCAGCTTGCGATACCACCCATGAGATTCGTAGAAAAAGCATCACCCCCCAAATGTTTAGGAGACATGGTATCAGGACGCCCTAAAATATAGAGTTAACATAAAAGATATTCATAAAGATCCTATGATTGGCACAGATAATTATCATATCATGTAGTCATACTTACTTGAATCCATCCCAATTTGATGCCAACGGTAGGAGTTGGAGATTTGGTATCTCTTTGATTTTTCTCGTCCTGAAAGTATAGCGTTGATTAAAATGGATAATAATATAATTAAAAGATTTTGTTCTAAATTTATTTATTGTTTTTGAAGTGTTAGATGAAATTTAAGTACGTATTACGTGCTTATTGCAAAAATTATGATATTATTTCCGATATTGTGGTCACACAATTTTTGTTCTATTATTGTTTTATGAAACTTTACAAAATTTAGAATGGTAACCTTCACAAATAGTTGTAAAATAGGAAAGTTGCTCATAAAACACATTTTCATAAATATAATTCCATTAAGTTATCTTTAAAGAGGTCTGTAAGTCTTTAGTTGAAGAGATCTCGGAGTAGATATCACATTTATATCACGTCAAACACACTTTATCGATTAGATAAGATCTTTCTCGATACTTATGTGATGTATGGTCGTACGTTACTGTAGCTTATCCCCTATAAGCTGTCTATATTTGAATACCATGCCTATATATTGGATATTCTGTGAATGTAATAAATATAAAATTTATGATTTCACTGAACTTTTGGTTGAGGAGAGCTATTTTAGAAGCTGTTGTCAGTCTTCGCAATTGCGTATGACGTCGATCGAACGAAACAATGAATATATCTACACGGTACTACTATTATAGTACCTATTATGTGTGACGGTACACATTACGTTCAGTACTGAGATGAGGTAAAGAACTGTTTATAAACTAGTTTATGTTGTATACAAGAATAGCAACATTTCCATTTTCTTTCACTTTTGTGTTTAATGGCTTTAATATTCAATTTCGTAAAAGTATTAAATGCAGGCTTTGAAAAAGTTATTGCTATGCTCTCAAGTAGTGGTAAAGAACATAAGACTTCGAATTATTATCAAAGTTGCATTTACTTAAAATAAGAACACTTGACTGGCACCTGTCTTGGAAGTGGGATAAAATATATTCTATGTTAATCTAGACTATGCTTCATTATATACTAAATTTAAGCCAAATCACAACGATTTATTATTGACCTTTAATTTTAAATTTATATTCATTTGGATAAACTGTTTACTTGCCAATAATTTCTTCTTTAAACAATATAAAAACTTCCTTATTTATTAATAAGATAAGAAATAAGACTTTTCTACAAACGAATGCATGTTATACAGTTTTAATTGTTTAAATATAATAATGATAAAAAATAATAATAAAATTAATTTTTATATCTGAAATAATATACTTACAGATTACAGAGATAAATTTTATCAAAATCGGTTCAGTAGTTTGATTTTTAAATCAAAGTAACTTGGTTTTGCTACAACTAAAGTTGTATTTTTATTATAGAACATAATTTTATGTGAATCATACGAATTACTATAATATCTTGTACCTGAGTGGAGCAGCAAATTTGTTATATTTGTAGTGTGCTTACACTGATTCACATCAATGTTACTACATATTGATATGGCCGCGATATATATATTTTCTATAAAAAAAATTGTCATATCACAAGATGTAGCAGGTAAATTGTATGCAAACAATATCTAATATAACGGCAGGTACATACACAGTGTGCCTGTATGTGGATCGAGAAGATGAGCGTCAGCTGGTATTGTTTATGTTACATGATGTACGTCACCTGTCTGCTTGACTGATGGCCCCCGATGTGAATTGTTACCAGAACCCAGACAGTGACGAATCAATTGATTTTAACATCTGCATGTATTTAACTAAATAAATAGTTGCGGAATAAAGTCCGTTTCTCTTATGCGCACCTGGTTCCACAAACTCTCTGTTTATATAGTTTACCTTGAAATTGTTTCCAAAATGTATAATTTATTATATATGTCACAAAACTGTATTGTTTTGTAATGAGGTTCTTTGTACGTATTAACAAATTATTTTTAATATATAACTACACTTATTCTTTGAAACAATGTTGAATATGTCGGTTAAGTTAAACGTTTTAATATGTATTTAATATATATTTACAAGATACAAAAATATATCGGTACATATCTAAGTATATACATATTATTTGCTTATTATAATAAAATTAGAAAAGTACAATTGAACTTCAAAAGTACGTTTTACCCGCGCATATCTGTTAGATATCTCCCATTCTAATAGGAAATTCGGAAAACCCTTTCTAAATGGGGCACTACGCAGGTACGTCATAGGTACCTATCCCTTAGCAAAATTTTGTTATTCTATATCATAGTCGTCGTATGTACCATTGTAAGTAATAAGTATAATCGCTATCTATAAGTATAAGAAATAATATCAGCAGATGATAATGTGATAGGCATACTTGTTAATGTTACAGTATTTATGCACACATAGATTACGTGTAAATGTATGCAGCAACTTCAATCACCATGTAGGTATTTAAAAACCTTCGTGCTACATTTAAAATGAAAACCAAGGGTGATTTTATTGTTTTATCGAATAATATTACACTAACAGTTAGAAAAAAAAGTACGAAAAAATAAAGTCCATGAAAATATCGTTTTTATTTATTAATATAGAGATTCAATTTCGTCAAGCCGCTATTCTTTAAACGTTTTTATTATATAAACTTCAATATGGTAGTAAAGTTGAAATGAATAAAATAACGTATTTTTTACACATCTCTAAAGGATAATATTGAGACATTTTATATTTTCCATTTCATTATTTGCAGAAGTATGTATGTGAATTTTTTTTATATAAATATGTTCTTACCAACGTGCTAACCCTTTAGCACAAAAATAAAAATTGCTACTCCTTTTATCGTCGGAGAGGTAAAATTTACAAAAAAACTTTGAAATATTATTATCAGTTCAATCAAGAAACACAAATAGTAAACTTCAAGCAGATCAGATGATTTGCTTTTTAATTTTAAACTAATGTTTTCACTGTTTCTCCCATATAGAGTTAAAATTCCAAAAACAATTAAATGCGTATGCATTTAGTTTTGCTGAAAGCTTTAATAATAAATTTCAATCACCTTACTTCAGAAATGACAAACTCCCTAAATAAATTTTCAACCCCTATTTTATCCTTTTAGAGGACAAATTGTCAAATACAACTGAAATACATATTTGTTTATTTCTAACCAGAAATTTATATATGAAATTTCATCTAACTTGGAAAATAACGCGTTTTCATACAACCATTCAACCCTTACTTAACCTCTTTAGGGGTGGAATTTCCAAAAATCCTTTCTCCTTAGAATTTATGCTGTATATATCTAATACATATTATAAAATGCATCAACTGCTAAAATTTAAAGTCTTTAATTTCTGTGGCTAAAGCTGTGCATTGATGAATCAGTCAGGACAAACTATTTTGTTCATACAGATGAAGGAAACAATTGTTTGTCGAGCTATTCGGTCGTAACAACTTGTGCACATTATTTAGTGCATGCTCTTCAAATATGTACCTACATACAATGAACAATATAAACATATGTTATTATACATATATTAAATTGGTCTTTTTATATATTTCAAAATATGCATTTAATTGTAACAATAATGTTAACGTTAAAAAAGAATAACAATAACACCATTATTATTATTATATTACTAGGTATTTTTCTATAAACTAATTACGTTAATTGACATTATTTTAGTTTATTTATGGTGAAAACTAACACAATAATTTTAATAAATTTGGGTATCATTTTGTGGTAGTCGGTATCATTTGTAAGTTGTTTAAAATTATTAAATATTACTTAATATTAAAATAACAGTAATTTAATTAAATGACCAAATGAATTGTTGTTATTATCTATTAATAAAATGGTAAACAATACCCTTATTGTTAACAATAGCAGACAAAACGGCTCGATCAGCAGGTCTACCCTTGAATCTAATATCGATATTAATTCAATACAAGTATATTGCCAATGATATTTTTATTCTGCACTCATGAAACAACAATTTCGATTTGGATGAAATTGGAATCAGTTTTATTGGAGTCAGAATTTGCATTGATAAATTACATTAATATGCATCTATCAGAACAATATGTAACCATTACATCGCAAGTGTTGCAATTCGAGAGAGCGAAGTCTCGATTTTTATATATCGATATAGAAATTGATCTATTAGAAATTATTTCAATAGTAGCCCCATCATAAATGAAATTGCAACAAACGCAAACACCACAGAATAGAATACCGTCAGTATCAGTCCTCAGTATTAAATACACCACACTTACAAATAGTGGAATTAAAGACTTTGTACAAAAAACCTCTGTCCCATTCGTGTTTCTTAAAGTTGTGTTTATTGGCTGTGTTTCGGTTTGAAGGATGGGATATGGCTTATACAGAGGAATAACACCTGAGACCTCAGGAATGAAAGTATCATGCGAAAAATATTTTATGTCCATGGTACTGCTCATGTCTATAGGGTTACCACTTTCCATCATGGGCCGTTAGCTTGTTTGCCATTCTAAGTTGCATTTTCTACTATCTCTATCTCACAAAAACATATAATCATTCAACTTTGATTCGTCATCATAATCATCATTTTTGTCATTTCAGACTTTTGCCCTCAACTATTAAAGACTGCAATTTTATACGTGATGCTGATTGTATTATAATTATTTAATATTAACTATTTTGATCGGTTTCATGGTTATCATATTGTTAAACTACTGTAATCAAGCGTATAACTAGGCATAAAACCTTCGTCCATCACGTACCTAAGCTATTATACAATTTTGTGTGAACTCCGAAAATTTGAGTTTGTCATTTAACGACATTTTAATAACAGACATCGTGATCACTGGTCTTCAGACACGTTAGTCATCACGTTATTAATGAGTTTTGTATAAAAGAGTTGTTTACCATTTGTCTAATGATTGTGACCATTAAATAGATATTCCTAAAATACATATGTATGTTTAGGTAATAATTTTCTCACGAATAATAAAATGAAACTTACAATAGTCAAATTTTTTTTTGTACAGATAAGGTGCTTTACTGTAGTATCATATCTGGGTATATTCATAAAATATTTGTCTTTCCTGTAGCTGTTGTATCTATAGTTGTTTCAATTTCAGTTCATTCTAAAACTATTTGGAGCAACAAGTAACCTAAACGGCATGAATTTTAAATATATTTATTAAATATATTATTAAAATTAAGAAAGTTTTGTGGAAATGCTATCTAGGGTACATGAAGACAAATGGTTGCCATAAACTTGTTAAAATTACAAGATTTTACGCTTGGGTTTTTATAACATTGTCTCTTCACTCGATAACTTAATGAAATATATGCGTTTCCATCCACGTTGAATTACAATGTATTAATTATTTTTAAGACAGAAATTGCTTAATTCAACACGAACTTACCTCTTCTGTAATAAGATGATCACCATGCAACTCTCCAAGACTTGGTCTTTTCAATGCTCTTTTGGAATTTCTGTAATTTTCCATTCTGGGCAAAGCTTCTCTCGTGAGTTGCGCAAGTGATCTCTTTCTCCTCCATCCAGCATCGTGAAGCCATGTGTCAGATTGAGCATTGGAAGATACACCTCGTTCGACTGTCTCTGCTGAATTCCTTAACGGCCGAGTAATAATATTGGCTCCCATATGTATACCATTCTTTTTGCATTCTGATTCTACAGACGAAACTTTGAATCTACAAAAAAGTAATTTAGTGTTTATTTTTTATTCTATATCAAAAATAAGTAATAATACTGACACAAAAATAATATTATGCTTAATTGTGACTTATGACAATTTTTAGAGTCTTTGAGATTTTATTTATTCATCAATACTAGTTACTTTTACCAATCTAAGATTTTGTTACACAAAAATAAACTTTAATGTTAAAAGAATCAATAGGATCAATGTGAGACTAAATTCTTTAGATTAAATAAATATATAAAGAAAAACTTTGTTTTTGATAATTCAGAATAAAATAGAAGTAAGCGCTTGTTTTTAAATGTATTTGCTTCAGACGCAAAAGGACCCGTAACAAGCGGATGTTACCATCACCACCACTTACCTAATAATGAAGTAATACTAAATAAAATAACAAATTAAAAGAATATACGAGTATAATGTTATTATAGAGAAATATTATTATATCTATAGTTAAAGTCCCGGTTTTTAAATATAAAAGCTAGTTACTGAACTTACCTTCCTTCCATGATTACTACAATGGACTACCGAAGACTGGTTTTGTAAGGGTGCACTTTACTAAGGAGCTCTACAATATTATGTAGATTTCTGTTTGTTTTAGTACTTGTCGCTCTTAACCACATAATTTTCTCAAAATTTCTTATAGTTTCCTGCAACAATAAATAATAAATATTTTTATCACCTTAAACTATTTAGTGGACAGGAAAAGTACTGGATTGGTCTTATTCGTATCTACCTTTATAATATGCTTTATATTTACCAAGCACCTATTATTTTAAAATTATATGTTTAAAATTATATGTATATAATATATATATATATATATATATATATATATATATATATATATATATATATATATATATATATATATATATATATATATATATATATATATATATATTAACAGATATTAATTTATATTACATTAGGTAAACTAAAACAAAATATTTAATTTGAAATTAACCACGTAGAGAGTACATATTTATGTCGTACTTTCTAAATAGTTAAATCTTTTCATTGCATTGTTTATGGATTACTTATATGAGTAAATAATATATGTATGTATATCACGGTTCGTAGTTTCATATCTCATTTATCCTTGAATATTACAGTTACTAAGAAATGTAACGATGGAAATAAAATTAAACGGGTACAGATATAAATGATGCGTCATGTTGATTCTAGCGGAAGATTATAATTTATCATAGACATGGATTTAAACAGATGCCGCGAGTACCTTAAAATCTGTACGAAATAAATTCTGTATAAAACCAAATATTATGTACATTTCTTTTTTTACTTATGACGCTTCATAATGAATTACAGACCTAAAAGTATATATAGTATATACGTTATAATTTATATGTAAACTGTGACGCTACGTACTTTAATGTAAAAACACTGAAAGCAGAACCTTCGTATTAGACATTCGTATTAAAAATATTATACGTAGCGCTATTATTGGCAATTTTTCAAAATTTTTCAACGTACATTTTCGGTTCGGAATTTAATTGGAGGCACTATTGAACCTCATTTAAGGTTAACAACTAATGCGTATAATGTTCAGATGACAAAATATATTTATTAATAGTAATAACCGTTCATAGGTTATTATGTTAGGTTAGGTAGCTATTATCAACAGACTTCAAAAAGAAGGCGGTTCCCAGTTCGATTGTATTTTTTATCTTTGTCACCCCATAACTCCATCAGTTGTAAACTGATTTGGAAAATTCTTTTTTATCTGAAGGAATATACTCGTATTTGCAGATTGGTCCCATATAAATTTTATTAAAATCGGCAAATTATAAGAAATAACTGGTTTTGTCTCAACTGAAGTTGGTTTTTTTTTTTGTGGGACAAAATTATTATCAATAGACATTGAGATTGATGAAACAAGTGTATTAATGTAATAGTAGAACATAGTTTTCATACAAATGAAAATTATGAATGTTGCTTATATCTAGCATCACGTTTCATCGTTTCTTCGCCATTGTATACAAATTTTTTTATTAATTTGTCCGTTGTAAATTATGTACATTAAAAATTTTACAATTACAATTACTCTTCAGAAATTATAATATAGGTATATTAGGTACAACTTCGTATCTCTCTTTTCTCTTTTGAAAATACCAAAGTCTTTTTTTGCTGTTTTTATTAAATCTCTAGATTTTTTGATATTTTTATACTTATACAAATTCTGAATAAAAATTTAGTCGATAACGGTTAAATAAAATAAATGATATAAATTTTAAACAAATAGTATGAGTACATTGCGACATCTGTTAAATCAAAGTCTATGTTTTCATGTAGGAAGTCCGAATCACAATTTAGCTAGTGTCCAAACACGCGCTTTTCGTTTACTTGGAGCAAATCGTGGGAGAACAAAGTAGGTGCCGTTATTTTTAAATCTCTGACTGTAATTTATCTGTCGAGATATATGCCTTAGCATAGTAACGTGATGACGAAAAATATACCGAGAATTATTGTTATGAATCTATGAGTCGGGGCGTGTCTATTTTTCCCCTTGTTTAATTATTATTACTAGTGGTCACCCTGTAGTCGAAATTTGACCATAATATACATTGTAATAAATGAATTTATTATGATTATGTTTAATATTCAATATGACTATAGACAATCAATATTAAAGACAAACAATATTAATCTATTTTCAATTTGATCAAACTTTAACAATAAACAAAAGAGTATATATGCGCGTGTGTGTCAAATACATGGTAGTATGTGTAATGTTTTTTTTAAAGATTTCGGAATTGATTTTTTTTATTGATTTAATGTATTTTATGTATAATTTAAAAAAAAAATAGAATTAGCACTCTTTCTCTATATAAACTACGTAAAGTGTGCCAAATTTCATACTCCTCCGTCCGCGCAATTTTCGTTAAAAGACTTGTATAGTTTTTTTCTTAACTTGTAAATATATAATTTACTGTTTTGTATACATTTTTATTTTTATTCGTATGTACATTTTAAGCGGTTTGTCATCATATCGAAACTATAGTTTCTTGTGAATGATTTCAGGTGGATTATCACAATGGGAACGATAATTAAATCAAAATGTATTTATCCATTTAATGGCAGTTCTTTATCTACCTCTATTTATAAAATTTCAATATGATATGGAGTGACGGTTAAGTTAGAAAACGTTTGACTGTAACCCATGGATCCCATAATCAAATTGCGCTCTAAATTCACAAGTTCATGTTTGAATTGGATCACTTAAAAGTTTTTTCATTTTCTTCATGCTTTTGGAGGACACGAAAATCTGTTCTTCGGAAAGCTCCATCAGAGGCCTGCTGTAATCGTGTACAACAAAGGCAGTCTAGAAAATCTTCAGCATAGGGTGGCACTGTTACATGTGTGGGGGAAGAAGGGATTGTTAGTAACGGGAACTAACGACTCCGTTAGCAATATCCGTTATATCCGTTCTTATATATTATATCCATTTGACCTCCTCGTGATTACTACTGGAAACCATCGCAGTTAATATTTGATAAATTGGTTACGTGTGTGCCAGACGTACAGATAGACCTACTTTCATCCTTACCTTACCATCCTTCACTGGTGTCCCGCTAGCAGATACTGATAGCGCCCATTCTATTATCATTTATTAAAAAAAAACACCTAACGTGTGTGGTAATAGCAATATTTGAAATTAAATCATTATATGTGGTAGTATGTTGTAGTAGAAGATTCTTGAGTTGGAACCCTGTACGGGCAAACGTAGTGTAAGACGACCCCCACTAGATGGGGGGAAAGGGATTGTTAGCAATGGAGTTCGGCATTGCTAGCAATATGCCCTATCAGGTCGACCTCCCCGTGGTTCCCCCTGGAAATCATCGTGAACAATTCTTGTTGAATTCGTCACGATGGGCTAACTGACCTGCTTCATCCTCATCTATCATCCCTCACTGGTGCCCCGTCGGTGTATACCAATAGCGCGGGTGGGGTTACCACTCCATTATCACCCATTAAAAAAAAAAGACCCCCAATAGATGGAGTGACGACCGCAAATGCATTGTATGAAGTCAGTGGATGCAGGTGGCTCAGGAGGCTCAGGACCGTTTTTTATGGCAGTCAATGGGCCTATGTTCAACAATAGTCAGGTAATGACTGAGATGATGATGATGTAGTATAACTCCTGCTCTACTTTTTTTTATACCACTGAGGTGGCAAACAAGCATACGGCCCACCTGATGGTAAGTGGTTACGGTAGCCTATGAACACCTGCAATACCAGAGGTATTACGCGTGTTCACAGGCGCCGACCCTGAAGAAACTATACCTGTTTCCAGGCAAGTTTAAAGCTGCATATAAAAGATACATGAACACGTTCGTCCAGCGTGAGGTCAAAGTTTCACGGTGTTAGCAAAGCAGGCGGTCAGTCGCGCTGTTGGAGGCTTTCGCGGTTTTCGCCGGTTCCGACCGGTTGTATCGTAGCGTATGCGACGAGGCGTCGAACTGTCAATAAACTGCCATACTGTTTCGCATATAAAATTAAATTTTGTGTATACGTAATATACGAGTACATATATGTATTATATTATGTACAATACGCGTGATATATCTACTGTGTATTGCATATTAGAAGTATAATTTAATATATTTCGCGAGTAAAGTTGCCATTTAGACTAATTTTTATTTTTAAATCCTAATATTATAAATACGAATGTTTAAAAGGATAAATGAATAAATGTTATTACTGTATTTGCGTGAAAGAGAGACTTGAATATAATTTGGTATATGGTTAGGTTATATTCTAACTTAGTAAATAGGATATTTTATGTACTATTTCAAGTGATACAACTAGTATAATTGAAATTAAAAAAAAAATCACAATCGATAGGGTTTACTCTAGTATTGGTCGCATGCTAGTTTTGCCAAAATTTAAACCACAAACATGTTACATAATTAGACTTCCAAAGAAATGAAGGATACTTAATGTTCTTTTTTTATGTATCAAACTTTTTATATTCGTTCTTGGTGCTTTTAAAAGTAATATGTAAATTACTATCCGTCCACGGCAGAATCTCGTTAAGTACTCACAGTGTAATAGGTACGTGTCACACAAAAAATAATAGTAAAGCAACCTAGGTACTAATCCAGTTCATACCGGTTATCGTCGGATGGACGGGAAAATCCGCGAAGAACCTTGTGGACACCGTTGACTGAACTTGTAATAAGTAAATCCCTTGAACGACGTAACTATACGATTTGACGAGATTATAATTATTTCTTTTAACGGATAAGTAATACGTTCTAAGACAAAAAAATTACCTAACACTAAACTATCTTCAGATTGCTTATTATACCAACGTGATGGAGACAAGCTTCTTAGATTATCTTTTTATGGACGAAGATGTGTGCTATGCATACAATAGTGGAGGCTGAAGGAAGTAGATGAAGGTAATCAGATCCATCTTGACGAATTCGCTAGGAATTAAAAATGACGGTCCCTTCAGACCGCGTGGAGGTCAACCTTGCAGGGTATATTGCTGGCAATGGAGATTAGGGAACTGGGAACTGGAAACAGGAACACCATTACTAACAAGCTCTTTGCCCTCAGATTTATTGGATCTGGTAGATGAGTTGTATGTATTTTTAGAGAGTTTTGACACACAAAGTTTTAG